GGACAGTGGCAGCGGATACAGAACTGTCTGGAAGACAGAGAGCGGAGAGTGGTGGGGAACGGTTGTTTTTCTGGCTGGAGGTCTGTGAGAGAACACATAGCGGATACCCAGACTCCAACCCCAACCACCACATCTGCAGCCAACACCAACACAACCCAAGCCGACCTCCAGGGAGGGTTTGTGCCTCTCTTCTCTCTCCCTGACCACCATGTCCCAATGCTGGGAGCCAGCCGCCTGGTCTGACCCTGACCCTGTCCCGCAGACTGGCTCCCCGCTGCCCGAGCTCTCCCTGGGGCTGAGAGAAGTATGCCCAGCATCTCCCCCGCGTGTGACAGCCTTATCTACCCCATCCCCACCACCACACTGTACACACACACAACCACATTGTACACACATACACCACCGCTGTACACACACACACAGGAAGTAAAGGGAGGAAGTCGATCTTGAAGTCGATCTGTTAGGTGATGGGGAGCCAGTAGAGCCTGGCCAGGTCCCAAGTGCTAACACATTTAAAAGTTTGGTTTGGATAATATGCTGTCTGTCTCCAAGATAATAATCCTTTCATTCAATAACATCTCATCACATCATCAAAATGTCTCAAAGCGCTTTTTAAAATATACTGTTAAGTGTAGTGATACTTACTGTTGGTAAATATCACTGCAGTTGATCAGGACACCAGCAGAAACTACCATTCTCTTGTCTAATTGTGCCATGGGATCTTAAATGGTCACCTGAACAGGTGGCACCGCCCAGCACTACACTGGCTTGTCAGCCTGGTCTCTGAAGTCAAAGTCCCAACATGGAGCTTCTAACCACAACCACTGACTCAAGAGGTGAGAGTACTACAACTGAGCCAGGCTCACACATATTTTGCTCTGTTTACAAGTATTAGGAAAAGCCAGTAGATAAAATAATGCTGGTATTAGTGCCTTATCACATCATCAAGATATCTCAAAGTGATTCACAGGAATTACTGTATTTTGTAGGCAAACACAACCGATAATTTGCACACAGCAATGTCCTGCAAACAGCCACAAAGCGAATGACCAATTTTAGTTGGGGGATTGTGGGTCAGCACATCAGGAGAAACTCCCTTCTCTTCTTGAATAGCAACAAAGGGATCTTAATGTACAAATAAACAGGTAGACGAGAGCTCGGTTTAACCTTTCATAATCCAGAACTCTGCAGTCTGTGTCCTCTCCCGCACCAAACTCCGTGACCCCATCTCACCCAACTCCACTGGCTCCCTATCCTTCAGAGGATCCAGTTCAAGATCCTGGTCCTCACATTCAAAGCCCTCCATGGCCTCGCCTCACTCTACCTCTGCGAACTCCTAACCCCCTACGATTCCATCTGTTCCCTCCGCTCAGCCGACTCTGGCTGCTCCATGTCCCCCAACCCACCCGCCCCACCATTGGCGGGAGAGCCTTCAGCCACTCTGCCCCCAACCTCTGGAACTCCATCCCCTAATCACTCCGCCTCGCCCCCTTTTTTTAGCCTCCTTCAAGTCCCGCCTCAAAACCCTCCTCTTCGACCGTGCCATCAGCCACCCCCCTTCCCCTCCCCTCCCTTACCCCCCCCAACCCCAGGTCAGGTCTGAAGTGTTGTACTCTGTCCAGCGCCTTGGGACGTCCTCCCGACGTGAAAGGCGCTATACAAATGTAATCTTGTCGTTGTTCATCCAAAGGACAGCAGCTCTAACATTGCAATGAAACACCCCCTGCACCGTGGGGCTGGAACTACAATCTTCAAACTCAGGCGAGAGTGCTGCCAACTGAGACAGGCTGACACCAGATATATAATCTTATCCCAGGCACATCAATTTTCTTTCTCACCATATCTTAAAACCTTTCTTCTTTCCTAAAAAAAAGCAACCCATCGGGCTGGTGACCCAGCGTCACATTCTGGTACCAGCCATCTTAAAATCAGAATCTGTATTCTGCAATCATATAAACCACGTCAACTGCATTCTGACCATTCTAACACAAAAGTGATTAAATTCCCATCACTTATGGAGTCAGAAACCATGTGCACCATATACTCTACAATGTAAATGATAAATTAACCAAACGAAACCTAAGCGCATGCATCCCAAAAATTGCAAGTGGGTCTCTGTGAATTAGAATTTTCTCCTCTCCTGAAGGTGTGTACTTTTGTGGTTGGATTACATAGATGAAAGTTGTTCCTCTGACATTCTTAATAATAATAATAATCCTTGCATTTGATATAGAGCTTTTCACGTCTTCTCGACGTCCCAAAGCCCTTCACAGAATAGACTGTAAAGTGAATTGACTATATTTGTGGGCGAACGCGGCAGCCAATTGCGCACAGCAATGTCCCACAAACAATCGTGGATTGAAAATGACCAATTTATTGTTTTGTTTTGGAGGATTATTATTAGGCTCTGTGTGAAGTAAGGAAACTTGCCCGAGGTTTGGCCCTCTGCCTGGAATTGAACTCAGGTCTCTCACTTGCAAAGCGAGTGCTCTGACCACTGAGCTACAGGACTTCTTGTCCAGACAATAAACATTGGTGGGCTATTTATCTCGTGGGGAGGGGGGCATCGCAACCGAGCACTTTCTGTTCTAACACAGAGTCCACATATTCCAACAGTTGTCACTGCTTATTGAGAAGCAGGACTGCTGACTATTCCTCTTCCTAACCCAAACCTCCAAGATGAATTACAATAAAGTTACATGTGTACAGCCCTTTCACGTCGGGAGAATGTCCCAAGGCGCTGGTCACTCAGTATTTCGGACCCGAGCTGGGGGTTGGGATCGGGGAGGGTGGAAGGAGGGTGATCGAAAGCACAATCGAAGAGGAGGATCTTGAAGCAAGTAAGGGAGGGGGCGAGGCAGAGGGACTGTGGAATGGAGTTCCAGAGGGTGGGGGCAGGGACCTTCAGCTGAAGGTCCACCCACCAATGGTTGGAGCCTGTTGAGCGGAGGGAGCGGGCAGGATGGTAGGAGATCGCAGAGGTAGGGGGAGTGAGGAAAGCTTTGAAAGTGAAGACCAGGATCTTGAAGTGTATCCTCTGTGTGATGGGAAGTCAATGGAGTTGGGCGAGGATGGGGGAGATAGGGTCACGGAGCCTGGTGCGGGAGAGGACACGGGCTGCAGAGTTCTGAATTATCTGCAGCCTATGGAGGAGTTGGGGAGGCCGACAAGCAGCGAGTTTGCAGTCAAATCTGGATGTTATGAAAGCGTATATAAGGGCTTCGGCGGCCTGATGAGTGAGACAGTGATGGAATCTTGGGTGGAGGCAGAGAGGTAGCGTTGGTGTCATTCGCATACATGTGGAAGTCTGTGGATGATGTCACCAAGAGGGAGCATATAGATGTTGAAGAGGGGACCGAGGAAAGGGGCCTGAGGAATTCTATACGAGACGGTGCAGGGGCTAAAGGAGAAACCGTTTGTGGAGATGAAGTGGAGATGGTGTGAAAGGTTGGATCTGAAGCAGTCAAGGATAGAACCATGAAGGTTAAGGTGAGAGACTGTCAATTTACACCCTAGATTCCACCCTTAATGAAATCAGCACACAACAATCATACTGAAATATCAGATGCTTTCCTTTGTTTCGTTCCCCAAGGAATAATTTGAAAATGCAGAATGCTCCAACTAGCACATGCGCCTTGGATTGACTAATCTCATACATACTGTGATAGGCAGACTGACTGACCCTTATATGTTTGAATAGATCTTTAAAGATTATTTTAACAGAATATATTAAAATGTTTACCAGGACGTTACTAATACTGGATGTCATCCCATACAACACTTGTATGGATTAGCCTGACACACAAAACCCAGCAGTGTGTGGCACATTTCTGACAGTATTTGTTAGCAGATATTAACCATCCTTAAATAGCTGTCAAACGAGCACTGGATTTGAGATCAGAAGTCAGGAGATTTGAATCCTGGTGGGTTCATTCAACCCTTCAACCCAGTGAAGTTAATAAAATAAATACCTTGCTTGGGATGCAGGGTCCTGAACAGGTATCACCCAAATATCCAACTGTACATCCACAGAGACATGCACCGAAAAGTGGTTTTATATTAAATGCAACAGTTTTGATCGTCCCAGAGAACATCAACCACCCTTACAAAATCCTCCCCCCCCACACACACACCCATGGGTCATATATGATGGGATGATATCAAACGACAGTGGAAATGTCATTCACAAATTAAATAAATGCATAAATAGGTGATCAGCAATCCACGTTGGACACCTTACATAATTCAACTGAATCACAGCACTTACAGCTAACTTTAAAAAGACAGGAACAGGGCAGTGACGTTTACACTGAAGAAAGACTGTAATGGTCCCCATTTTATAAATGTAATTTTACTGTAAAACAGCACTTCACACAGTGCACAAAGCAATGATGCACACGTGCATACATTTTAATATACATTCTTTTAAAAACACGCTCCAAATTTTTTTTTGCATTACTAGGAGAGTGCCACTGTTATTTATAGATTTCTCAGTTACACAAAGAATTAACAAACATCTACATGGGCAGTGGTCCATCCGATCAGTGGGTTTGGATGGTGGTCATAAACCGCAAGGTTAATCCTCAACCAGCTCGGGCCAGGTATCTGAACTCAGCGATTGGGGAAACTGCCGGCTAATCACACCAAGGCTTTTAAAAATATACCGTAAACATTATGGCATAGGTGTATTCAGTCCTGGTCCATTCTGGTGTCTGCGATGCTTGTCAGTGAGACACCAACCACCCACATGCTCTGCATGGGCCATTCAGGTGGCAGGAGTAAATACTGAAGTAAATACCGAGATGTACTTTGAGTTTAGAGAAATACATTCTCACTGGATTGTAGATATCCTATGCTCAGAGCATGGCATATTTAATTACTATAATCCCTGTCACCAAACCTTCACAGGACCACCAGCAGAGAGACAGAGAGAAAAACAGAGGGAACACAAAGTGGCCATAGGCAGGAGATGTCATATGGCACCAAGAGTGGAGGCACTATACTGTACACTAAAAAACACTTTAATATGTCACGGGTAGAAAAACGGAACAAAGGAATAACAGGGAAATATCACACCTACACAAATTACAAATATAACACAGGTGAAAATAAAGCTGTATAAAACGTCATGTATTTAAATACATTTTACAAATTAAAAAAAAATTCCTATACAAGTTTTGAAGGTTGTGCTGCGACTAAAGGTTTTCTAAAATGGGCCCTAATCTCAGGAAAAATGCTGTAACAGTTTTTTTTTAAATTCTGTCTTGGAATTTTTTACCTTTTATAGAAAAATGATGCGATATATTATTTCATAACAAGCAAAAGCTTTACATGGTGTATAATACAAAACCACAGCTGCACAAAACTGTGCCAATCTTATTATACAGCATCAGTACCTTTGTGAAATTATGTACACAGAATTCCACGCTGCTCAATGCAGTGTTTTATGTATATGCTTTTACATACATATGGCAGGTAACTTACAAAAAAACTAGATCCTCTGATTCCAGGTGGGCGCTGACACACATCACGTTAGCCAGTGGTCAAATGGATAGAAACCCACCCAGAAAAATAAAAGCGTGCTTGCTTTTTTTCTTTGCCACTAAGTCAAAATAAAGTTTATCCCATTAATGGGGAGACGGGTTCATGGGGAAGGGTACTTTTTTCCAATGTGGGTTATTTTCTTAGGCACCAATTGATTCTGGGCATTTGAGATCCATATTGATTGTCCTTAGTAAAGCAAAATAGATCCGAGATTAAATGGATGAATACATTTCACCCTGGTGCCCAATTAATTAGCTTCAGTTGCAGTGGCAACATTAGGGGGCAATCTCTTATTACTCCACCAGAAAAGCTTTGTAAATGTTCTGTGGTGTAGCACTTCCAAAAAATGCTGGCGACATCTAGTGGCACGAGCTGGTATTGCAACGGAATCAAAGCTGCCTGGTTGTGGATGTCTGGACACCCATGGAAAGAGAGACCCACGTTTCTGCCACAGTGGCTAATTCAGGATCTGCCCAAGCGCTCACCCAGATTTCACTCTGTACTGTCACACCCTTTCCCTTCATTCTCCTGCAGTCGTATGTAGGCATTTTCCATATTCACAAATATTTACACGACTCTGAAAACGGGACAAACAGGTGATAGTTTACATATAATAAATAAGTGAGAAATACTCCACTTCAAACAGGGCGGTGGTGGTGGGGAGGGGGCAAAGTGGAAAACTTCAAGGGTTTTTGTCTGCAGTTTGCGGCTTTAGAAGCTTAAACGTCAACTGCAAACGTGCATCCGGATGTGGCGGGATGCTGCTCCGATCAGCCCTGTGCTCTCTCTGTTGCTTGTTTGACAGAAGGCTGAGGGACCCGGCAGGTGTCAGCCTGCAGGCTCCTGGGCTGTTACAGGGAATCAGGGCAGTGTGTGTGCGCTGCTCAGCGAGCAGGATCACTGGAGGCACACATTCATTCCTATGGATAGAACATTGAATTTTTACATTGTGAACACACACAGGGAATGAAATATAAATTAGTAATTTATAAACTCATGGAAATTCTATTTCCTGGTGGGGCAAGTTTTTAAAATTCGCTTCTAGTCGTGACTTAAGCTGTTAGCTCCCTGAGGCAGTCTGCAGGTACCCGGACTGACCACAAGCCACAGGCCTTTATGGCGCCGAGAAACAGAACCCATCAGTTTTTCCAGTCAGATGCTTTCCCTTTTGCTGTGTGTGTATGTTTGTGTGTGTTTGTGCATATGCGTGTTTTTTTTAAACCAGGCTCCTGTTCTTGACTTAAACTGACCACATCTTCAGGTGACAAAACTGTTCCAACAAAAAAGCTCCAGAGAGAGATGAAGACTAGCAGGCAGTTCTGGTCCCTGGAATAACAGGAACTTCCCTGCTAAACCAATAATTAAAAAAAAATCAATCCTTTTAATATTATGTCATAGTAAAAGGGTACAAAATGTAGATAGTAAGATTCCAGTTCTTTATCCATACAGTGATTACATTTCCTCCATTGACCCTTGTTTTACTGTTGCTGGATTTTCATGGTTCCACGTCCCTCTCAGCGTTTGCTGTCTGCTGGCTCCGATTGTTCTTGCGAGTTGAGTTCATAAAGGCATTTGGCAAGTGCAGTGGAAGCCTCCATACCACTGATGGCCAGTACAGACAGGTTATTTTCATGCCGTTTAAGCAAGCTGATTGAGAAGAGGGAGGAGAGAGACATACACAGCGATCCATCATTTCATAGAATCATAGAATTTCACAACACAGGAGGCCATTCAGCCCATCGTGTCTGTACCGGCTCTTTGAAAGAGCTACCAACTAGTCGCACTCCCCCGCTCTTACCCCATAGACATTCAATTTTTTCCTTTTTAAGTACCAATCCAATTCCCTTTTGAAAGCTATTATCAAATCTGTTTCCATCACCCTTTCAGGCAGTGCATTCCAGACCGTAACAACTCTGGGTAAAAAAAATTCTCCTCGTCTCCCCTCTGGTTCTTTTGACAATTATCTTAAATCTGTGTCCTCTGGTTACCGACCCACCCGCCGGAGGAAACAATTCCTCCGTAGAATTTATGACAGAATAGATCCCAAACATTGGCATTTACTCAATGTGCATTAAGTATGGATCTCACTGGAGATAAAGATGTAGGACCTCAGATAAGGACTGACGCAACTGACAACACATACAACAATTATAACTAGCCCAAGGAGTTTCCTGATACTTCAATTAGTAAATGCAACTTCTCAGTATGAAACTAAACCCAACAGCTCAGGAGGTAACAATAAAAAGTAAATTTTGTTTGGCCACATAAAAAACAAGTCGATCCGCTTTACAGTATATTCTGTGAAGCGTTTTGAGACGTCTCAAAGACGAGATAAGTCTTTATCAAATGCAAGGATTATTATTAAAGGGAAAGTGCAGCAGGAATGTTTTCAGAAAAAATATCATATGGGTATAACAAACTTCCAGCACAGCCGGTGGAATAAGGAACTATAAAGTGCTTCAAAAAGGAACTATACAGGTTCCTGATAATGAGAGGCATTTGGAGTTATTTGATGGTAACTTAGACCAGTCAGAGAAATATTTTGATGAATGTCATGGAAATCAGGTGGTGGAGTCTTGCCTGAAACTCATAACAATCCTTGCATTTGATATTGGGTCTTATCACATCATCAAGACATCTCAAAATGCTTCATAGGATTTTACCGCAAATTGCATTTCCTGTGCATTTGTAGGCGAAAGCGGCAGTCAATTTGCGCACCTGAATGTCCCATAAACAGGTGTGGAGTGAATGAACTGTGTTGTCTGGGAATTGTTGGCCAAGATACTGAGAGGTGATTAGTGTCATGGGATTTTAATGTCCACTTGAACAGGCACAGACGGGACCTCGGTTTAATATCTCACGCAAAGGGCTGATAAAGTTATGTACATTCCTGTACAATGCTGACTGATGTCAGCTGGAGAACCAGTCGGGAAACTTCAATTGGTCTCAGTCCCCCAGGGCTTGAAAAGGAGATGGGAATGAACTCATCAGGCAGGATTTCTGATTACTATCCAGTGCCCCTTAATTAGAAAGCGCAAAACAACAAATTACATTTCATGTCGGAAGAACATCCCAAGGCGTTGGATGTTCAGGGATTTGGACTCGAGCAGGGGTTTGGGATCAGGAAGGGTGGGGTCAGGGGTAGGAGGGTGACCGAAGGCGCTGTCGATGAAAAAGGTCTTGAGCACAAGTCTGAAGATTGGGTGAGGACAGAAGAGGTTTGGACAGCACCATGGGTAAGAGAGCAGCTGGCACCCATGCAGCACACACACACCAGCAGCACAAGTCAAAACTGGAGGAAAAAGTGGGCGACCCAATGGCATAGGTATTAAAGTCTGCTGTGAGTTCTCAATCTCACTTCAAAGACAAACAGGGGAGGCACGAAGCAGAGCAGCAGTTTCATGGAGTGGGAAAGAGAAATGCACATTGCCAAATAACTGCACTGGGAGAGAGATTCAGAATAACTGATTAGCAATTGAACTTACGTTCGCCCAATCTCTGAGTATCTGGCAACATTCTTCAAGATTAAGGCAGAAGTCAGGCGAATATGCTTCACAATTGGCCCTTCCTTCTCATCCTGTCAAAAAAACACACACACGTTCCAGAACATTAGAAATCTCAAAGGTCACAGCACTCTGAAACAGCAAAAAGCAGCAGTAAACTGAGAGCCAGAATGCACAACTCTCTATTGCCTTTCTAGATACAACTCATGCACATACTTACCATGTAATTCCTGAAAATAAGATTCCGGGAGCCTTTCCTTAATGCCATAAGGGCAGCGCTGGGATGACTGACTAAGGTCTTCTGAGTCTTAGGTGTTGGAGCTGTACTCTCTGATGGAGGCTGTCTGAAGAACAAAATATCAGTGTACATTAAAATCCTCAAACAGGCTTCACATGATGGCCCCACAATACTGGTCAGACTTGTATATTATTTTTGTAAGCATTACACAAAAGCACTTCTGCCAGTAACATTTGACCAGGTCATTTTCTGCACAGTTCTGTTCAGCAGAACAATACTGGATAGTGATCAGAGATGTATTCAGGATTGATCAAAGACCACTGGCCCCCAGCCCCACAGAAAAAACAATTTAGACCTGGGTTGTTTCATAGAAAAAAGAAGCATCTCTTACCCATCAACAGTTACCTGCAGTACGGTCAGAAAAAAAATCAAACAAAATTATAAAAAGTGTGGTAAAGTGTCAAAACAATAATTGGAAACAGATAAATATAGCGACACAGTCCACTGGAACCTCAGCATTCCGTATTCCCCCACCCTCCTTCCTGTTCTGTCCAGATTATAATTAATTCATTTTAGAATAAAAATGATTCACAAAATGTGTGAGTCTGAGCTATTTTAGCCCCTAGTAACTTCAGTGACACACTAATCAACGTTACTTGCTGGAGATGGGTTCTTACTTTACTGTAGTTTGTGAGCTGCTCAGTTGTGCTTTCTGCTCCAGCCGCTTCAATCCCACGAGCAGGTTCTCCCTTGAACAGTGTTTGTCCTATTGACATAATCAGCAAAACATTTAGAGATAGAGGTGTTGACAATATCCCAATCTGTACATTTGCTGTGCCCAGTCTTGTCATTTCCATTACATTGTGGGTCTGCATCAACATCTTCTCACTTTCAATGTTTTCTGCAATGTCCACAATGTTTTAGGAAGGAAGTGCCGCGGAACCAAGTTAAGATGATGAGAATGTTTAACTACATTGTTCAGGCAGCCCTAATGGTTCAATGGTGAAATGCAATAAGCTTCATATATCAGGAAGAGACCCGGTTTGAAGCGACTTAGAACAGGCTTGGAGGTGTTACCACCAATCTCAGTATCCCCAGATTTGGGAGAGGAGAATGGGAAAAAGTGATCACTCAGGGTTTTTCTTCCTAAGATATCCACTGACCTCTGTTGAATGTACATATGTGTAGGTAATGGGTGAAGACGGGATTGTGCTTGACTGTGATGTCCTCCTCATAATCAATAAGGCGAACCACACTCACTATCTAGGCTTGTGGCTACAGGGCATGATGCTCTTCGAACCACAACAATAATCCCTGCCTTTGATATAGCGACAACTCAAAGCACATAACGAGATTTATTGTGGTGCAATGTATAGTGAGTAACTTGTGTATTGTAGGCAAAAGACATCCATTGTCAGGACAGGAGGGGAGGCAATGGAAGCAGCTGGAACACGACCAGCATGCATCAACTGACAAACGGCAAAGGTTGTAAATGGACGAGGTCCACTTTTGACTGTGTGTATGTTCCTGGCCTGTTGCAGGGATTTAATGTTGCGGTTATGTCCAGGATGCCAGGATGCCGAGAGAGGGTTGAAAAGCCTTAAGACTGAAAGAGGTCTGATCAACATCCTATCTTACTTCTCTGAGGAAGACAGTAAGAATGCCATACAGTGGGGTTTAAAACTGTAAGGGAAGTACACTCTGGAACATTTGCCAGTTACTGCTATGACCATTAACATTCAATTCAATGCGCACACGTTTCTGGAACTATAAAAGCACAGCGGTAAAAAGTATGTTTGTTCTGAAGAATTCACTCTTCAATGAAATACTGTTTGTTTCCGAGCAATTCGTGAATGACAGGAAATCACAAAGCAAACAGAGCAAAATTCTGGTCTCAGTACATCAGGTGGTATACACACTGATCCTCGCCGGTTGCATTGATGGAAGACTCATTCTCTAACTTCTCTTTGCTCTAAAAAAAACTATCCTCTATTTTGGGAGGATGGGTGTTCCCGAAGAGAATGATCAAATATATTTAGCCAGTTTCTGTCTCCTTACCAACAAAAATCGCAAAGCTCAAAATCTTTGCTTGGTAAATATACATCTTAATAGCAGCCAACCTTCCTCCCATACTAAAAAGGATTTAAAGAGAGCAGGAAGGAAACTGTTAGATCAAAGCACGGCTTTACCTGTAAGTGGGTGATGAATGATAGCCGTTGTCGAGGAAGTGGCTCACAGCCCTCCCACATACACTGACCCTGGTACACATCCTTGCCTCCATGCTGAGTCGCTGCATGGTAAAACACCCGAGAAGGAGTTTCAAACCACCTGCAAACAGTAGACACCAAGTTAAACAGAGCTGAACTGCTGACACGAAGATTATCCATTCAGAACATCTGTTAACAGGATGTTACATCTCTTTCCCTGGGGAGGTCAGGACTTGCTGGACCATGCAATTCCTCAGCAGAACAGTTTGCTCCAAGCCCTCCTCCAATACTGTTCTTCCGCAAACAACAACTTGCATTTATATAGTATCCCTCATGCAGGGTAGCGTCATACAGCGCTTGAGAGTGGCGGAGCACGATGCCGAGCTGGGGGGAGAGGGGAGGTGACTGTAGGCACAGTCGGAGAGGAAGGTCTTCAGGCGCAATCTGAATATGGGGAAGGAAAGGGTAAGGCGGAGGGATAGAGGAAGAAAGTTCCAGAGTTTCAGGGCGTAGTGTCTGAAAGCGCGGCCACTGATGGTGGAGCAGAGAGCATGAGGGACAACAGTAGTCAGAATGCAAACAACAGAGCTCCAAAGATGACTCTCCCCCACTCCTTGTAAGGAGACACGGAGCTGCCATTGGGAGGGTAGAAATTCTACTATTGTCGAGATTTACCTAATATTCTTAACATGTCAGAGCGTTCCAAATTTGGGAACATTCTTACATTCAGCATCAACTTTTTCCTGCAGTACATTAAAAAACTCATTAAAGGAATTTGCCAAATTCCTCAACATCTTACATAATGAATTTTGGGAACTTGGGAGGTGTGGGGAAGAGAACAAATATGTAGAAAACATTGTACAGGCCTGGGAAATACATTACTGTCCATCTGGCCATTATCAAAGTTAAGGGAAAAAAAACTAAAATTCTTTGCCAAATAGCTTTATAATTGCTTTAACACAACGTGCCCAACCTTAGGCACAGCACACTGGTGTTCCAATAAGCTGCCAAATTAGGTTGACAGCATTTTCAAAAAGTTCTTCTTGCTTTCAAGACAGTTTACTCTTACATCAGCTGGAGTGACATGCAGCATCGGATTGGATGCTTATCTGCAGTTGTACTCCTGAAAGTTCACAACTATGCAAGTTAACTAATTAAATGTTCCCACTAAACCGACCGGTGCAAACTTGCGATGGATGAAGTAAACTCAAAGACCCGAACATTTCTCAGACTCAGTACGACTAAAGGTCATTCCAGTTACCTTGCACCCCCACCAGCTACAGTAATACAGAACTTGCTTCCTCCAAGCTTTCCCACTGGGTAACCAGTCGAGCGAGTTTATTTTCTCTTGCTTACCAGTCTGTGAAACTTAATTGTTTAATGATTAACTTCTTCTATCAAGTTGAGAATGCAGAATATGAAGTACATGACAACTAGTACAGTACTTTTTAAAGTGCTTTTAATTCCTATATTAAGTGATAATTCCTATTTATGAAAGACTTTCCCATTGATCAAAGAGCCATATCTTAACATAGCAGCAGCCATCAATAGAGATAAATAATTTGATAACACTTCAATTAAGCAGCCTTCATACCTCAGTAAGCTTGAAATTGAGATAGAGACAATTGAATATTTGAGACTAAATGTCCTAAATGATTTGAAATCTTCTGCCAAAATGGCTGACATCTGGTCTATCATTTCTCCATTTCCAAGCCTTTCCACATATAAAGTTTCAGACTCGTACCTTCACCTATTAAAAAAGCCAAAATCTAGCACTTGGTGTGTGAGAACCAATGTTAAATAAATGAGACATCATCCTCAACAGTGTGTTAAAGCATTAACACATTGCCTCCCTCACCTGTTACCAATAAGGTCATTTGGTCACATTTGATGTTTGAAATAAATTCATAGAAACAGGAGTAGGCCTTTCAGCCCCTTGAGCCTGTTCCACCATTCTATAAGATCATGGCTGATCAGTACTTCAACTCTAATTACCTGCCCATGCCCCATATTCTTTGACACCCTTACCTACGAAATATAAATCTACCTTAGTCTTGAAAATTCACATGGCATTGTGAAGCGTACAATGATTTTAAAAAAGTCTACGTTTTAACTTCAGTTTTTCAATAATCTGTGATTGACAGTGAGTGTCAAGTCTAGCATTGTATTTCAGTGTAGCATTTTAACTGTAAAGATTGATCTGTGTGACAGGATCCCAGAAACACCAGGAGGTGCAATCACAATGCTGGTGATGTCTGCACCACTGAAGACAAGAGCGAAGGAACAATCTGGTGATGCAGCCAGAGAGAACTCAGATACCTAAGTTACCTTGCAGTGACAAGCCATTAAACATTTGCTTCATTTAATTTCACACTAATTTTTTTTCCGTGGACATTAACCTCTCTGTTGTTGTGGATCTCCACCTGGCAAGTCCTAAACAAAGCCCTTCACTGAGTAATGAGCATCACAGGCAGGTTGGCGTGATGCATGTGATCTGGCCATTAACACACAGAAATGTTGGTGGTCTCTCAAGACTGACAAGACTAATTTGCCCAACATAAGGTATCAGCTTGAGACTAACCCATCTCACTTTTGCAGAAGTCTCATTCAGATATCATCCTGGGCTGAATTTATACTCAGAGGCCCAAAGATCATGAAACAAATTTAAATAAGTGCACAGAAAATAAATGTATTTGGAGTTGACTTTAACACTAAGTTTTAATACTAACAATCCCTGTATTTGATATAGCGCCTTATGACACATTATCAAGGTCCCGCAAAGCACTATAAGGTGACTGACCAATTATTCTGGAGGATTGTTGTTTAGTAAACTGGGAGAAACTGCCTTCCCTTTTTCCAATAATAATAATAAATGGAATTTTTAACATCCACGTGAACAGACAGTGTCTCCCCACAATCCAGTGCTCTCCCAGTACTGCAATGAACTGTCAGCCTTGACTATGAGCTCAAGTCCTACATGAAACTTGAGCTCATCATCTTTTGACCCAAATGTGGAGCGCTTACTAGTTCAGCCAAGGTATAATAATAATAATCCCTACATTTGAAATAGCGCCTTATCACGTCTTCGAGACATCTCAAAGTGCTTCACAGTATACTGACCTCTTGCAGTCTTTCCAAAGACACATGAAGCTGTGGCTGGGTTTCTTGACCGGTTCGGTTTCCGCAGAAGAGACTGGTACCTGTGAGGCCTGAGCCCCCATGTGCTGCTGGTGCTGGGTAACTGTCTGACTGCACACTGGTCCAGGAGAAGCCACTTTAGGAACTCCCTGTGAAGGAAAGAGGAGATTTTCAGCTTTACTTATTGGGGAGAAAAGAGTCAGCCTGATGTGAGTTACAAAACTGAGTAAATGGGTAAATCCCTTGTATTTCCTAGTCCGGGCCAAAGTCAATCATGAACAATGAATAATAATCCCTACATTTGATATAATGCCTTATCACATTGTTGAGATGTCTCAAAGTGCATCACAGCATACAATGGAAAATGCACTTGCTGTATTTTGTGGACAAAACACGGGTATTTTGAAGGCAAAATTCCTACTGTTCGTTATCATAATTGTTCAAAAATCAGCGTTGGAGTTCAAACAGCAGAGAAGGTGCTGTTGCTACTGAATGAAGACTGACTGACACAGTGCTGTCTACAACAGGATTACCAGTTATAATCAATGAGAACACTATTTTACAAAACTGGTCAAATTGCAGCCAAAAATCCAAAATGTGACTTTAATAAGTGTTGTTCATCAAAATAATGTGACTATTGTATTTTCTTGAATAGCTCTTGCCTTACTTTGGACATTTACAACAACAAAAAAATACACTTACACAGCGCCTTTCACGTCAGGACAAGTTCCAAGACGCTGGACAGTCAGGGATTTTGACCCGAGCAGGAGGATGGGATCAGAAGGGATTGAGGGCAGGGAGGGTAGGGGTAGGAGGGTGACTGAAGGCGCAGTCACAGAGGAAGGTCTTGAGACGTCCCTTGAAGGAGGCAAGGCGAAGGGACTATTGGATGGAGTTCCAAATATAATTTTTTTACATACAAGAAACATCAGCTTCTAGTAATTTAATGACATGAAATACATTTTAAAATAGGTGAATGAACCCCTGAGCAGGGAAGCAACCCATCCATTTTATCACTCTGGTACCAGCATGCATCCACTTGTCTATTACATAGCAAAGAATATTTAAAAATGATGAGTTGACATGTCAAACTGTTATAGAGTAGGATCTGAGAAATGTACCCAGTCACATTTACTTTTTAGTGATATATCACTCAGGCAAAGGGATACAGCTGGCTGAGCCATGCCATCAACTCTAGGTATGGTCTACAACATCAATGCATTATCTCATACATGGTCTCATACAATAACAGCTCATAATATTAGAGTGAGATCCCACACATAGGTCTCCTGCAACAAGAGCTCACAATTCAGAGCATGCAAAATAGAGAGAAGTATAAGGAGATACGATTTCAGTCCAAGGTTTCAGGATCCAGTTGCAGAAGGTATGATTTGTCACTGTCACAATAGATCAATACAGCTTTATTATATTGCCGACAATGAAATTAACCCATCTGACCTGACTACGTTATGTGGAATAATTTGAGTGTAAATCTATATCCAAATTTCAAAACATCTTGGAATTAAGAAGATGCTGATGAAATTGCTTTGGAGTTGCTCTGACTTTGATAGTATCGCAATCTATCATCGCATTACTGCTTTGCAACCCAATCCAGTCCCTCCTATGAACACATGAAGATGCAGATCCCTGCAATGGGTAATTGGAGCAAATGAAAGCAAAGGCACTGCCTGGTATATTTATCATCTTAATGTGTCCTATTCTGACAGACTCCTCTCTTGGAGAACATAGCAACAAGTGAAAAAAGGTAAAACAGATTTCAATCTACAATCTTCCCACATTTTCCTCAAAGTTGGAGTTGCATCAGGAACTTTTGACAGAGGATCATGCAGAGTATCATAAATCACTGAATGCTAAACATCGGATGAATAGAAAAACACTACCCTGAAGATTGTGATAAAAATGTTAAAATACTTCCAGCCAGGAACTGGGTGTTCTTCCACGAGAGGCACCTGGCTTCTCTTTCAGCCGAGACTCATCAGAAGTAAAATCTCCCCTCTGTTGATAACAAAGCTTCAATGTGAAATATGCTGGGCACCATAAGCGGTGTATAATTTGGCAGCCAGTGGAATAGTTGGTGGGAGGAAAGAAGAATGCACACTTTGATGTTAAGTTGGTTCATTGGGGAGGATTGGATATCTTACAGCTTTGCTAGTGAAAAAAGTAAGGACATGGAATTGGAGAGCAGCTAGCCTTGCTGAGCATCCTACACAGAACAGGTGCAATGGCCACCTTTTGTGCTGAAATTTCTATGTCTCCCAATGCTTGAATAGCCTGTCAACATCTATTATCTAGGAACTAGGTTAAAGAGAAAATGTGAATGAGTTCCTGGAAAGCTGCTGCTGGCTGCAGAACTGCCTCTGGAGAAAAGGGAAGAAAATGTGAGAGAGTTGGGGGAGTGGAACCCAGTAGCAAAAGGTTCCTTATTGAATTTCAGGTCTTTGAACACAAGGTTCCTCGATGTTCATATTGATGAAATTGTCAATTTGTCATGCAAACACAGTCAATTCCTACTGTACTGTCCTCCTGACGTGAAAGGCGCTTTACAAATGTAATTTGTTGATGTTGTAGTAAACAACATTTGTACATTTAAATAAAAACACAATACAATTTTATATTCATATTGCCCTTTTTACATTGGGAGGATTTCTCAAGGGGCTTAATGTTGGTTTGGCACCCGTTGGAGGTTAGAATCAGAGAGTAAAAATTACACAAGTGACTTAAGAAAGAAAATAAAAACACGTTACTTTGTAAATGCAGCAAGACACACGAACAATGCAATTTACAGGAAAACTCAGAAGCCCCAAATCTTATTTAAATGAAATGGCTGGAATGTAAAGTACCCCGATTGTGCCAGAGAGAAGCTTGATTTCGTTGATTCCAATCCTCGTAAGTGATCAGCGGTCAGCGTTCCTGGGTTTGTGAAGACACTGTTGTGCAGAAAGCCAACTGGCGGTGCTCCTGCAATACACTGGCCATGCTCACTCTATTCTCATCACGTGCAACTGAACCTGCAAGTGCTAGTCTTGTGATCATGTGATTTTTCATGTTTGGACATCACATGATGTCGGGGTCCATTGCCTACCTGCCTTATAAGCGAGGCGCTATATTGAGAGGTTATGAGAGCGGTCCCCTGTATTACTAATGTGCTTCCAATGATCTGCAGCTAAACATTTTGTGAGCAGTACAGATTCAACAAACTCTGAAAGGTCCTGTGTTTAAATCATTGTTTGTTGATAACAGACAGGGTAGTGATTGGTGTATTCTATTCCCTTCAGGGAGGGTGGGGAAGAGATATTAGTCAAGGCTCTTTATGCTATTCAGTGTCTTCGTTGAGAGTCAGGACTGGATTAGGCCTGACTGTGATGCTTCTGGTGGGAAAATCACTTAGACGTGGCACTTGGCAACGGCTTGCCTAAGGAATTATGATTCCAACACAAGTGACCCTTTCAGTAGAGGAGAGAGGGAAGACAAAACACTGGGGGAAACCAATCTTTCAGTGAACAGCAACAATTTGCACTTATATAGCTACTTCATGCAGGGTATCGTCTCGGAGCACTTAGCAATAGCGGAGCCTGACGCCGAGCAACTGAGAAACAGGAGGTGACTATAGGCACGGTCAAAGCGGAAGTTCTTCAGGTGTGATCTGATGACACTTAAAGAATTAAGGCAGAGAGTTCCAGTGTCTTGGAGCAAGGTGGCTGAAAGCATGGATGCTGATGTTGGAACCGAGAGACGTAAAGAAAGCCGGAGCAAGCTGAGCGAAGGGGCGAGCAGAGGAGTGGGGCGAAGCATTGTTTAACAGGGAAAGTTTACCCAAATATGGTAAATGGAATCCTATACGTAGAAGCAGGAGCAGGCCATACAGCCCCTCAAGCCTGTTCCACCATTCTATAAGACTATGGCTGATCTGTACCTCAACTCCAATTACCTGCCCTGGACCCACATACCCTGACCTAACAATTATCTATCCACTTCAGTTTTTGAAAATGTGAATGGATCCAGCATCCACAGCCTTTTGGGAGAGAGAGTTCCAGATTTCCACTAGCCTTTGGGTGAAAAATTGCTTCTAAATTTCACACCTAAATGGCCTGGCTCCAATTTTAAGATGATGCCCCCTTCATAGAATCATACAGCACACAGAAGGAGGCCATTCGTCCCATCGTGTCTGTGCCGGCTCTTTGAAAAGAGCTGTCCAATTCAATCCCACTCCCCCACTCTCTTCCCATAGCCCTGCAAACTTGTCCTCATCAAATAATTATCTACTTCTCTCTTAAAAGTTAGTATCAAATCGGCTTCCACCGGCCTTTCAAGCAATGCATTCCAGATCCGAACAACTCGCTGTGTGAAAACATTTCTCCTCACCTCCCCTGTTTCTTTTAACAACTATTTTAAATTAGTGCCCTCGGGTTACCGACCCTCCCGCCAGTGGGAATAGTTTCTCCTGTTCACCCTATCGAATCCCCTCAGAATTTTAAAAACTTCTATTAAGTCTCCTCTTAACCTTCTCTGCTCCAAGGAGAATAATTCTCACTTCTCTACCTCTCCTGATAACTGAAGCCCCTCATTCCTGGTATCATGCTGGTAAATCTCCTTTGCTCCCTCTCCAATGCTTTGATATTCTTCCTAAAGTGTGGGGCCCTGAACTGAACACAGTCTCTCGCTGAGGCCTAACCAGGGTTTATAAAGGTTAATCATAACTTCTTGATTTTTGTATTCTGTTCCCCTATTTATAAAGCCTAGCATCCCACATGCTTTTTTAGCAGCTTTATCTACCTGTTCTGCCACCTTCAAAGATTTACTTTTATGAACCACCAGGTTCTCACTGTTCCTTCACCCACTTTAAGATATTACCATCCTTGTTCTGGATTCCTCTACCAGAGAAAATTGTTTCTCTGCAGCTTCCCTATCGAATCCCTTTAATTATTTTAAACACCTCAATTAGATCACCCTCAACCATCTAACCTCAAGGGAACATACAATGGAACAGTATTTTATGAAGGGCGACTCAAGATGCAACTATTGGCAAAAGTACTTTACAATTCTTTATCAGCTGAGATATAATAGCAGAAAGTCATTTATATTTTAGTAACCATCCCAAAGTTGATGCACCACTCTTTTCTGGATGTCAGACCACAGCCCACAAGCAAAATCCATGTGCAGTGGTTGAAGCTATTCTTAATAGCAATGCTATTCTTGCAAGAAAAAGAATTGAGGCATAATGGATCAAGCTGCAAGGATATAAAAAAAACTAATTGAATACAGTGCTAGTTACATTGCCAAAGACAATATTTTTCTACACCTGCTACAATATCATTAAATAGATCTGGTTTCTCCATTTATACTTAAAAACACGAGCAACAGCAAAATCTCGTCACTTCTTCTGGAAGAATGGGAAGGCAAAAAGCAAACACAAGGTTTATATCAGTGCTTGATTTTCTTTGTGAGAAGCAAAGGTGTTTAGTTATATTTTTTCTCTGCTGGATGCTGTAAGAAAAGAAACTATGGAGGAAGAATTTCACAATGTGACCGTTATTGGTACAATCATTTAATGGTCCTGTTGTTTCGGCTGGGAAATGTGTTGTATTATATGCCTAACTATGTTTCTGTTGAATTAGAATAATGTTGACAATAGCTAGAGGGTGATGGCAATAAGAACATAAGAAATACTAGACGAGAAAAGACCAAGGTCCATCTAGTTCACCTTCCACATTCCTGGCAGTCGCATGCACATATGTCCTGAACTACCTATGTACTGTATCCCATAATATCATTTCCTAAAAGAAAACTATCTAATCTGTTTTTGAAATAGTTGTTTCGGGAGTTCTGCACAGAAGTAATGAGAGATCAATTGAAGCTACTATTCCTACAGAGCTAGTGGAGTAACCCAAGACACCCACAAGAAGACCGTAATTAACACAAGTGGTAGGCAACTTGAAATTTAGAATGAGTTTGAAGTTTGCAGATTAGTGTTCACTAACCAGATGCATTGTTAAGATTTTGATAAACACCTGTAGTCGTAAATAGATTTGGAGGTTAAAATAAAATAAACCAAAGTATAAACAATGATTATTGCTCAATATATTATGTTTTTATGAATTCTTTAGTCACAGGATCAAGAGGCGATTCAGCCCATCAAGCCTGTTCTACGAGAAATCTAAAATGGTCTAGATCCCTACATGAATCCTCACGTAAAACATTCATTTTAACATAAGCACACGTTAAACAGTACTTACTGCTATTGCTGCTGTGTTAATGGTAGCTCCCGCAGGTACGGCCACCATCATGGTGTTGCTGCCAGCCTTTGCGGGGTCACTGACGGTCATGATTCTTACCCCCACTTTATTTGGAATGTCCGCCATGGCAATAGCAGTCGCTTCTTCCCCAGGCCTTTTGGTGGCTTGCCGACATGGCTGACCATCACCCGCAGAAGACTGAGAAAGATGGGGAGCGTTGACTGCACTGCTGCTCTGACAGACAGCGACTGGAGATGATGCTACAGGGTAGGACTGTAAGACGACACTACCATTCTGGTGAGGCTGCGACACTGGTACATTAAAAGTGACTGCTGCAGTTCCACTACTCAATACAGAGTTCCTGTGTGCTTGCTGAACTGTAGGATTTGGTACTATTACTGTAGTGTGTGCATGTGATTTCACATTGGAAACTGAAGAAGGTCCATTGCACATTTTGCCCAGTTGGCTACTCTCACCATCGGGATGACACTTTATATCTTGGTGTTCCTGATTGAGAATCTCCCCGTTCCCCAAGTGGTTAGAAGCAACCGATTTCTCATTAGGAACATCCTTCCCTATGTGTGAACGATCGCCTTTAGCAAAATCAGAGTCCCCATTGATCAATGGCCTTTTTAAAGAATTTTTTATTTCTGTTGTACCCAATTTCTCTAGAATTGGATCCCCATTGGTCAAAGTTGCCCCACTGCTACCTTTAGACTCCTGGAAAGCTGGTGTATTCTCCACAAAACCACAATGATTCATCCCTGAGGCAGGGTTCTCATTCCTACTCTCCCCATTAAGCAGCTTCCCCGTCTGAACAGTCTTTCCATTTAGGTGTCCGTTGCTGGCATTGTAAGCATTACCCAAGAGAGAATTTTCTACCAGTCCAATAGTCTGTTCTTGGTATTGTGAGCTCAGTATATTAGTAGCCTCCTCAGTCTTTTGACAAGTATTTCTCTCTCCCCCACTCTCACTCCCTACACGGCTGCTTTGGTTGCACGGAACACCGGACACCTGAAGAACAGGGTTACCGATGCCAGCTTTTGCATTTTGGTCAGCAGGAACATTATTTGCTGGGTTTGTGTTTACTTGGGTCATGGGTGTGTCGGTAAAGCTGGGGTTAGGCACCACAGTGACAGTAACTTGTTGGTTAAGGGGTGTCCCCTGGAGAATGGGGTTAGGGCTGGTTGTAGAGATGAATGGGCCAGGAATAATTTGCACTGTTTGCAGACCCCCATGTGGCTGGAGGATCTGCATGTTTGGCTGGCTTACAACCAGCTGCTGAGACTGGGGTTGAAGTCCAACGCTTGTGACTGGGCTCGGCATCACTTGATAAACCACTTGAGGGCTTTGAGCCCTGGTGATGGAGGATGGTACCTGCGGAACAGGAAGGAGGAGCTTGCCAGCTTGGCAATGAGGGGGTGGTTTAGGAAGCAGCAACTGTTTGATCACGCTGGTCTCACCAGTGTTAGACTGAGGGCCTCCCATGGAAGGCTGCTGAACATGGACCTGAATTGGGGGCTGCTGGACTGAAAGCACTTGCCCACAGGTGCTGGGATTGAGTAGCGTGGTTGGGGCCAACTGGGCAGAAGAAATTCCGCCTGGATTTGTCAGAACAATCTGATGAAAACTGGCAGGATAAACTTGGCCTTGGTGTCCCACTATCACTTGGACACTTTGCTGGGGTTGTTGCTGTTGTAGCTGGGTGGAATTGTTCACAATAGCTAATGATGTCGGACTAATGCTTTGAAATGTCTGCGAGGAAAGTGAATTGTGACCACCTGCAATGGTCAAAGCCTGACCGCTGGGTAGCTGGACTGCAGTAGCAGTGGTGGGAGCTGCTGCGTACTGCAGATGCACCTGCACAGGTTGGGCAGTGGGAGACTGGAGAAGCTGTCCTTGGGAGATCGTGGCAGTGCTGGTAACTGGTTGTGTTCTCGAAGCAAGTTGAGCATTCGGCAGTGTTTGATGGAGAACAGGAACAGTGGTGGCCGGACAGATGGGCTGTTGTCCAGAGGCAGATTGGTGAGCGACCGCCATGTGGGGAAGATGAACAGACGAGGTCATGGCGGGCAGCTGCACTGCTGCAGTGACTTTGGTAGCTGCCACCTGAAACAGTGCATTCCCTGGGATTACTGTGGTCGCTGCAGAATGAAAGCTTGGATGAGTGGTGGACACTTGGATGGTACTTGGCTGCATCCCGCCAACTGATGAGGGCACTTTGCTTGCAATTGCACAGTACTGCTGTTGCTGGCCCGAAGTACTGATCCCGGGAGTCTGGGTCTGGGTGGTGTAGATGATTTGAGAGACTGGTTGACTTGTGGAAAAGGAGGTTCTGTGGAATTGAGCTGCTGGGCTTTGTGCCAGAGAAGGAGCCAAACCTGAAACAAACAAGAAGATCAGTGATCAATAAGTGCCGTATCGCCTCATAACGGTAAACTCTCAGCTACTATAAATGGTTGCTACAAACAGGGGTCAAGCTATCATTTTTTCTGAACTACAGGTCTAAATGTAATAGTTATAGTAGACAAGTCGGATGGGCAGACAATCGATAAAGGCTAACAGAGAGGTTTGGGAGTTGGGGAAGGAGAAAAGATGGGAAAGAAAGAACTTTAGAGATGAGTGGACAGAAATAGAAAGATATCAGACAAGAATAATAATAATCCCTGCATTTGATAAAGCGCCTTATGATATCACTGAGACGTCTCAAAGCACTTCACAGAATAATAAAAATAATAATGATTGCATTTGATATAGCGCTTTTCACGTCGGGAGGACGTCCCAAAGCGCTTCACAGAACACACTGTAAAGTGGATTGACTGCATATTTTGTGAGTAAAAATGAATGAATAAGTATGCAATTGGGAGTGGTGAAGAGTTCAACAAAATCAGAGGTCACTGCTGGACCTATATTTCACACTCAATATTTTGGTTGAACATAAGATTCAGAGAGAATAAGTTTATTGCTCAGAGTGTGATACTTCAGTATCTAAAAAGTGGTTTTATTTCTATTTTCTGGATGTATTCACAATTAGCATCAGGAAATAAAGGGTTGTATCAAACCAATGATTTAGGTTAAGAGTACATAGCTCTATGAAACGTAAGGCAAAATACTGCAGATGCCGGAAATCTGAAATAAAGACAGAAGTCACTGGCTAACGTTTCAGGTCAATGAACTTCGTCTAACGAGTGTTCCCAGCGACTTTTGTGGTCTATGGAACATTACTGGCTTCCTGTTTTTTGGTACAGGGAAATCTCTGTCTATCGAGGCAAGTAATTCTCTACTTCAACAAGAGGAGGAAGATTGAAAGCATCATCTGAAGCAAGAGAAAATTAAAGACAAAATTACTGATAGTAATCTAAACTGTAGTAATGTTATCCTTGGTTTCCTTACCAACAGGAATGGAGGTCAGCCCTGTGTTCGAAACAGGACCCGTTCTCAACGTGGCGAAGGAATGATTTGGCGTTTGCTGCTCCTGATGAAATGCTGTGATAGGAAAAGGTACCGCTCTACGTTTGATCCCGACCACGTGAAACTGCGACTGACCATTAGCACCGGCATCTTCAATCTTCTTTATTGTGTGATTCGGGAAAGTCAACCTAAAGAAAGATCATTTAGACTTACATAACTGTTCTGTAACTCTATCAAATACTGTTATCTACTGTATTCATTTGAATGGTACATAACTCGATTTCTGCTGGTCTAACAAGTTGCATCATAACTCTTCCTGCATTGCTGACACTGAAGTCAATACCAACTCATCTAGTCAGTTTCTTACTCACTTCTTTCATATTCTGATTTTTTTTTAAGCATGCATGGGGGTGGGGGGGAAGGGGAGAGAGCTAGGAAAAGTGCAATCAAACAAAGTTATACCGTTCATCAATGAGATAGGAGCCCATTCCTTTCCAAGAGTGAAATGTTGATAATGAGATCCCCGGCTTATTTGCCGTCTCCACAGCCCAGGAGTACGAATGCAATTAAAATACCCTCTTGGTTACCCTGGCGAAGATCAGCTAACTCAGGCCAAGGAACGCGTGGTCTGTGTGGCCCAATACACATCAGCATTTACCCAGCAATTGGTGAACCAAAAATATGATACTGCATGCAGTAATAAAGAACACGTTGATATATTCTGAATAGGTTATTTCAGAACACCTGCTGGATTCCTAAGAGAAGCACTGGTGGATTCTGCTGAGTTATAGATAATAAAAGATATGAAGCTTTCAGAGATAGAATTTTAATGAGTTACAGTAGGGTCCAGATACAAGGATATAAAAGTGTGCAAAAGGAAGATGCTGCTAACAATAAGATGTAGGATTCCAGGAATAATAGCAGCTTTTGAAGAGATAGTACACGAGTGGCACTGTTTGTTCGTCCATTTAACCCTGCCACATTTCTGTATTGTCCACTTACACATCAAAGTGTTAATGGGTGACATGCTAGTTGCTAGCAGTCAGTAGAGTATAAATCAGAAATATAAGGCCAGTTCATTAAATGTATGTTGAAATCGTTTAAATAGTATTCTGGTTACTAGCTTGTCTGTAACATACCGAAGACATTTAGTAAAACCTGTGGACGTTAAGATACCACCACTGCCCAGTTTACTGCACAGCGAGAGGTACTCAGAGTACAAGTCCACTCGGTAGATTGAGCTGTCTGCACATTCTTCAAAGTTGGCATTCAACCTGAAATAGAACAAATGCCTTCCGTTAGTCTGACATACTTCCCATCTGTGTCACAAGATGGGGGAGAGTGGCTTATAAGGGGGGGTGGAGTTACAAGTCGTACATAATCTACCCGAGGGTGGTCTATGAAATGACATTTGTATAAATAGTCTCCTTTTCATTTCTCCTATTGTCCCTATCTCTCCAGCCACACGATTTCAGGATAAATAATCTCTCCCCCCCACCACCTTTTTCCAAATCACAGTCTGGGTGTTGGTATTATGTTTAGAAATGAGTCATGTGGAAGCAGGGCAAATGTTCAATGGAATCACAGCCTCTCATCTGCACGGCACAAGTGGACTTTACAGCTCAGGTCAGAATGCTCCAGATTAGATCTGGGATAGTTTTTACATATACACTCACATGGATACAATTGTCACACTTGAAAGGAATAATTAACACAGACTTTATTCCTATAAATCTGCTCGCATGAACTCCTCATCAATACCAGAGGGAAGATATGCACTACCTTACGAGAGATTAGTGGAAAATATATTCTTGTCCTGATTTGCACAATTTATTAAAATTTACGAGATGCCACCAATGGACATCAAATAGGAATTCCATTCTAATCTCATATGTCCAAAAGAACCAAAAAGTTGCCACTTTGTACCAAATAAGCATGTGGTCTTTCATAGAGCAAAACTGCCAACTATAAAGAGAGGGCAACCGTCACACAATGAAAGAAGTAACAAGAAGATTGAAAGGCAAAATGCTGCAGATGCTGGAAATCTGAAATACAAACAGAAATCACTGGCAACATTCAGCAAGTCAGGCAGCATCTATGGAGAGAGGAAAGTGGGTTAATGTTTCAGGTCATCAACTTATGGAGAGAGGAAAGTGGGTATCCACTTTTAACCCACTTTTCCTTCTTCATAGATGTTGCCTGACCTGCTGAGTGTTCCCAGGAACTTCTGTTTTTATGGAAGACTGAAAGATCTGTCTGAGCACAGAGAGCAATTTGGCCAAAAGGAATTTTGAAGGACTTGACTGCATCTTTCTGTACAATGAGAAGCACAAATACGACTTACCATTGGCACGTAAATGTCTCACTGTCGACTTCAATCACGTTGGTAGAAGGAACTGGAAGAGTACTCCCAGGCCTCAGTACTAGAGAAAATCAAAAATAAAGATCACAATATATATGACTGCAAACAGACAGAACTCTGGCCAGCTGGCTTCTGGTATCATCCGGCTCGAAAGTCTTCAAAACAATCAGCTTGCCATTACAATCAAAGTATTTTATCAAATGTTAGGCTGAAAAAACAAGAGACATTATCACCGGCAATGCTCCGAACTGGTCAACAATTAATTCCTTCACTCTTCTTTTCTGCTGTGCAAAATCATTGCAACTAGGAATATTCACTTGACTGCCAATTATTGGCGCCGACTGCTATAGCAAATTTTTCACAATTTCCTGCCTTCTCCTCAGAAAGACCCAGGAAGGAAGGGGATAAAGTAAGAAGATGTTTATTTTAATTATTCCAGCATCTAATCTATATCTTTTCATCCACGATCCCATTTTTTTTTAAATGGAAAAATAGAGGCCAAGTTGCTTTAAAGGACCAAAGTTCTGAATAGCGGTATTGATTCATATATACAATCTGCTCCCAATTGGTTTCACTCAAGTAGAGCTCTACGCATGTACATGTAAGCAGTCCAGTCGCCCTGACTAGAGTTTTAACCGTAAAAAGGATTTCTAGTATCATCCATGAGACCACACTAGAAGTTTTGAGGGTATATTTGTGACTGGAAGCTGAATTAATTTGAAACACTTCCATTAAACTAGCACTGTGAATCAATGGCCTGCCAAAACCCCATCATGACTGTGAGTTGCATACCAGATACATATTGGGTTTATCACTCATATGCCACAATATAAAGTTCTAATAAATAAAATATTCCAGCTTCTCTTTACGTCACCTAAACTTTTGAGAGCTGGATTAATAATGAGTTTAAAAGGGAAGTATTGAGACCAATTGAACAAAGAACAAAGCCCTTTTCCCATGTCCATAAGCAGTCAAAATTGAAGTCGTCAATAAGAGTAAACCTAGTGTGACTCAGGAAGAGGTCTTGTTTGAGGAAGGGACGAGCAAGTTAAACAAGATAGCCCTGCATAAAGCCAGGCTCTCAAAATGTCTCACAGCATTTTGCCTCCACTCGAGGACAGTATTCGTTTGTAAACAAAGGTTGAATGAATACTGAAAAACGTTAACAGCAGGCAAACAGAATTATGTTGTGACTATTCCCATTTCCCCACCTCGAGTTTCAGATCTCAAAGTTATTTTTGTTTGATATGTCTGGTGTGATCCACAGAAGATTTCTGAAGAACTGCAGACTCTGAAAGATAGTTCAGTCCACTTACGTTTCATAAAATAAAATAGATTTAGTGACTGCTGCTTTCCCAGCCACAGTTTCCATAGCTCCGGACCCTTGGGAAATATTGCACAATCTTTTCTAAAAGCAATATAAATGCAACATAAGTTACTGTACTGATAAGTTGTTCATGGACTGACAGAACAACACACTGCAAAGTCTCTCTCTTATATACAGCTCTACTTCAGGGATAAATGAGCTAGATTTCTGATTGAGGAAGATGACTGATCCTGACTTAAAATTTAAGGCAACTAATAAAAATGGCTACTTGAAGGATCAAACAAGACTCTACAGGAACAACCAGATGGGTTCAATGCCCAATTACCATTTTTGTCTTATGACGTGCACTTAATTCCGTGTAAACAAAGCTGATGTGGTTTTGCAAGTCCTACCTGTTGCAGGTGTGCTGTTGTTCGAAGCCTGCTCCGTTGTGGCCGTTTGTTGTCTGGGTTCAGGTGCTGCCTGCTGCACAGTGCTCTGCTGTTCCACCAATTTCACGGCTGCCAGTGCGTCTGGAGGGAAATTCTGCATATCCACTGACACAAGGCAGACAAGCTGATCTGCGGACACCAAAAACACATCACTCATTCTAACAACTGTAGAAATCATGCTGAAGCTAAAATGATCGAAAGCCATCATTGGTGGGACTAAATTCAAGTGCTCATTTGGTAGAAATATAATGTTGAGCCTGACAAGAGGGTGACTGTAGCCACTTGAGCCTGACATTTCTCATGGTGAACCTTTTAATCGCATTTTCCTACCCTTTCTCCATATCCCTTAATAATGAACATTTTATACAGGGTGACCATTATTTCTTTAAGACTTATTAAGAATCGTGATGGTATCATGACTTATTGGTCATCCTGTATAATAAATATACATATTACATAGCATGTGTGTACATATACATCTTTCCATTGTTGAAATTTTCCATTTCTGCGACAGTGTATATTTGTGCATCACTCTAGTTCTATTGAAATAAGTACAATAGTTTCGCTGGTCCAAACTCCAAAAGAAATCCTTTTGTTGTACTGAAACCAAAATACATCCTTCATGAGTCAAGGTAGTGTCAGTAACATACCTTTTAGAAAATTACCTGTTTTATTATGAAGATAAAACTGAACTTTTATGGAACTGCAATTTTTTTGCAATAATCCTTTAAATTCAACATAGCGGCTATAATATTGAACTTTTTTGCAAACATTCTAGGGCAGAAATGAGCCAAAATGGAGCTCCTTGCACTAATGATAGCACCCATGAAACTAGAATTTGAGGAACATCCAATGGCATTTTTGATTCTAATTTCATGTGCAATAAATGTTAACAATAATAATCCTTTTAATAACAATTCTTACATTTAATATAGCGCCTTATCACATCTTTGAGACATCTCAAAGCACGTCACAGAATATAATATAAAGTGAATTGACTGTATGTTTTCCGTTTTTATACTTTTTTTTATTTCTGCCAGAGTGCATAGTTATGTATCACGATGGTACTATAGGAATAAGTACAAAAGTTTGGCAGATTGCTATATGAAAATACACAGGGAGATGAATCGATGTTCAAAGCATTTGGTATTCATTGAGGGGCTTTGCTCTCATGGAAAAGTGACTAATTGACTAATTTTTTAAAAGCGCAACAAGGTTTGGGTTACAAAAGATGACTGGAAAAGATGTTAACTCCAAACTCACCGATGCTTCTCTCCACTTTAATGATCTTTGTGCAAGTCACCTCTCCCAGACTGGACAGCATATAGAGTACTTCCAAGCTAGCAAGCAACAGCAAAATATCCTGGAGGGCCAAATGATTCACAATCTCCCGGTAGGATTCCTGTTCCACACATTCACAGATAATATCCACATTCTCCTCAATCTTGCAGAGATTAGCCAAGATCTCCATTCCTGAAATTATATAAATAATAGAAAATTTAAATTTAATCCACATCTTGGAAAATGTACAGCATCTTTACAACACAAATATGTAAGCAGGGGGGGGGGGGGGGGAGAGAGAGAAGAGAGGGAAAGCAGCAAACAATAGCCTGAAATCTAGTGGCAGCAACAAATGTACAAACTCAATCTGTCAGTTAGTAATAATAAACCCTTGCATTTGATATAGCGCCTTATCACATTATTGAGATGCCTCAAAGCGCTTCACAGAATATACTGCAAAGTGAATTGACCGTGTATTTTGTGGGCGAAAACGCAAGGATTATTATTACCCTCACCCAAGCATTCGTTATATCAAGGCTCGATTATGGAAACTCCCTCCTCATCGGCCTTCCCAACTCTTCCCTTCACAAACTGCAGATCATCCAAAACTCTGCAGCTCGTGTACTCTCGTGCACGAGACTCCGTGACCTCATCACTCCCACCCTCGCCCGACCCCATCACTCCCACCCTCGCCCGACCCCATCACTCCCACCCTCGCCCGACCCCATCACTCCCACCCTCACCCGACCCCATCACTCCCACCCTCACCCGACCCCATCACTCCCACCCTCACCCGACCCCATCACTCCCACCCTCGCCCGATTCCACTGGCTCCCCATCCCCCAGAGGATCGAGCTCAAGATCCTCGTCCTCACTTTCAAGGCCATCCATGGCCTTGCCCCCTCCTACCTCTCTGACCTGCTGACTCCCTACCAACCTGCCTGCTCTCTCCGTTCATCGGGCTCCATGTCTCCCGCCCGACCCGCCCTACCATCGGTGGCCGGGCTTCCAGCCTCTCTGCCCCCACACTCTGGAACTCCATCCCACAGTCCCTTCGCCTCGTTTCCTTTCTTGCCTTCTTCAAGGCCGGTCTCAAGACCTTCCTCTTCGATCGTGCCTTCAGTCGCTCTCCCACCTCTCCGCCTTCGAGCCCCTACCCCACTCCTCCCCCATGCTCGGGTCCTGACCCCTTGACTGTCCAGTGCCCTGCGTTAACATGAAAGGCGCTCTGTAAATGTAATTTTGTTGTTGTTGTTGTAGTAGTTCCATGAGTAATTTACCTAGTTGGGATTTGCTTTACCAATGCCAAGAAGAACAGCTTGTTGGACATCAAACATTGCAGCTAATTCTATATTTTCTTACCCAGACTTTCTACCTGGTGATGCCTGCAAACATCACATTGCTCACTTTATTTTTGCAAAGCAGCTCTGATGTCACATGGTTCATATAATACAATTGCTCAACTCTATGACAAGTGTGATTTGAGAACTTGGAACCAAAACCGAGCTCCTATACTCCAGTATGTGAAGCTGAAAGCATAGATTACAGATCCTGTACGGTATTAACAACATTTCAAAAGGAGTTCACTTTTTGTTTTGCTAATTTTCTTCTCTCCTGAAGGCAGTGACTCATATTGATTTATTGTTCCACGGCCACTGGCCATTGTTTGGTTCAACATTTAAAGCCGTTCTTCATGTGTGATGCAACAATGGAGGGCGCGTTGTCCTTACCTGACACGTATATATTTTCTATGCAGACATCTGCACAAACACTTTCCAGCATTGGACAAACAAGAGCATGAACCCTGCCCAAAATCTGCCTCTCTAGATTGGGTACAGTAAACCAATGTCAGCACCCACCCCAACTACAGTGCACACAATAAGATTTATTTAAAGTTCTAAGTTCACACTCTCCCGGTCACTCTCCCTCTCTCTCTGTCACTCTCCTTCTCTCGTTGTCACTCTCCCCCTCTCTCTGTCACACTCCATCTCTCTGTGTTCCCCTCCCCCTCTCTCTCTGTCACTCTCCCCCTCTCTCTCTGTCACTCTCCCTGTGTCTCTGTCACACCGTCTCTCTGCCTCTCTCTCTGCCACACTCGGTCTCTTTCTCTCTCTACCACACTCTGTCTCTCTCTGCCACACCTTGTCTAACTCTCTCTCTCTTTACCACACAGTCTCTCTCTGCCACATTCTCTATCTAGCAGGAAGCAGGTACCCAGTTGTTATCGTTTGTCGGACCACTTTTCCGAGGTTAATAAACCCTTAAAAAATAATAATAATTTGATCACTCAATCCACGACTGTTTGTGGGACGCTGCTGTGCACAATTGCCTGCTGCGTTCGCCCGCAAATTTTACAGTTAATTCACTTCACAGTATATTCTGTGAGGAGCTTTGAGATGTTTGGAAAACCTGATAAGACATTATATCAAATGCAAGTATCATTAAAGCAACAGTACCCTTGGACATTAGGGGTTTAGGCTAGTATGGATCGGTTAACAATGGGTTTCAAGAAAGAGAGGGTGGAACAAACACAGACACACACACACACATAGAGAGAATAGAGAGCGAGGCGTTTGCACACACAGTATCCAGACTATTCAGGGAGCAGTCGGTGAGTTTGTAAACTTTGCACATTTTCACACACAGAAATTCTAGGTGCAAACCAATGTTTCACTGCTCCAAAGAAACCACCAGACTGCACTTTCAGTTATAAAAGATCCCATTTCCTGTCTTCTAAAAGATATTTTTGATCAGTTTTATCCTAGAAATGAAATAATTTATAGCCAGAATATTATACCTGTGTTTCTGACCAAAGATCATTGACTTGACCTTTCCTCTCTCCATAGATGCTGCCTGACCTGCTGAGTGTTCCCAGCGACTTCTGTTTTACAAGTTTGTTGCTCTATTTCAGCACCCACAACCTCTAATAAAGGATTGGTTTTATTAATTCTAACCAAATTGATAAAAGAAAGCAGTTAAAACAGATGCACATAGATGCCCTCTATATGCGTGGGCACCTCCTGTGAACGCCATTGGCCTTCATGACTGCAATGCTGAAATTAGAAAGTCTCAGCATGGGAAATTGCCAGCACCACATAGTTCATTCACAACATTCTTTGATTGAAATAAAGTTGTGACATTTTATTTCAATGGAAAAAAATGAAGCAATCCTCAAAAGGATCTAATTTAATTTAAAAACCTCAAACAGCCTGTAGAATACTTTCAGATATTCTAACTGTGATGTTACCAAAGCAAGCCTGCCCTGTCACTCCACTGCCTGTTTCTATGAAACAAACCACTCCACACCTAGATTCTGATTCTATGTAGTTTTCTTAACCATCCTGAGTTTCCCCAGAATCCCAATCAAGATATTCACCTCCCAGAAACCTTGCCAATCCCGAACACCTAACCTATTATATAATAGTTGGAACTCAGTGCCCATACTGCTCTGTGCCCATACTGCCCTATGTCCACACTGCCTTATGCCAAAAACAATACGGCACTTTATTTTCTTTCACGAGTCTGTTTGAGCTGGGGTTTGTTCAGCCCCACCAAATGGCCAATTCCTGCTGTGTGAATCCATTAGCACCTGACATGTCCATGGGGCCATCACAGCCGAGTCAGACTCCCTTTTCACCCATTACCTACAGAGGAACAGGAGTTGGGCGTTCAGCCCCTTGAGCATGTTCCAACATTCTATAAGATCATGGCTAATCTGTACTTCAACTAAAATTACCTGCACTTGCTCCCATATCCCTGGATAACCTACCTGACAAATATCTATATAAAACACACATTTTCCAGCAGTATCAAGAGTATATTCGATGAATCAAATCTGTTTGATTCTCTCCCTTTCAAGTCATGGAAGACTGAAGCCAATTGTTAATACTCCCCAGGCTAAGAAAAGGCAATTCAGCATTACCCTGAGCACATCAGTGGCTATTCAGCAATTTCTATTGGACAACACTGATGTAGACAAATGTAGCAGCTAATATGTGTCAGCAACATCCCACAAACAAGTGAAATTAACCTTGAGGAAGAATTGAAAACAGAGGAAGAGAGAAAGAAAAAAATAGGGGAAAATAAGGTGGACGATAGAGAGCATAGTCAGGCAGCAACCAGTACAGTACATACAGACAGTGTTGAGAGTATAGATCTGCCATAATATTACATTAAAAAAGGACATTTCCAATGCATTTTCAGGTTGCCCTTAATAATAATCTTTGCATTTGATGGCGCTTTATCACGCCTTCCAGACATCTAAAGTGCTTCACAGAATATACTGTAAAGTGAATTGACTGTATATATTGTGGGCAAAATGCGGCAGCCAATTGCACACAGCAGTGTCCCAGAAATAGTCATGGATTGAGTGACCAATTTTTTTTGAAAGAATTATTACCCCCATAAATGCGATCTGCCAATCAACCCGGTTCCTATTTACTGCTAGGTAAACAGAGACGTGTGAAGTAAGGAAAGTTGCCCAACTTCTTGCCCTGCCGGTAAATTGAACCCAGGTCTCTCGCTTGTGAGGCGAGGGCTCTAAACACTGAGCTACAGAACTCTCTGCAGGACTAATCACATAGCATCTACACTGGAATAGTATAGAAATGATTGATTTTATGGGCATATCCTCTTCCTAGTTTAGAGAGTTATATTTAGGAAAAATAATCTCTTGCATTTACTTTTGTTTTTTAGAATATTCTGGGACAGGCAAGTTTATTAATGTAATAATCAGTGCAAAAAAAACCTGAAACCGTCTTTCAGGCCATCTTCTAAGAAAGTCAAATTAGACTCTGCAATTTTACATTCTAACACATCCATTTCAGGACTTAAGATAACAGCTGAATTGTCCACATGAATAACAAGCCACCTGGGAGTGCTGCCACTGCATTTTCAGTATAAACAGGGAAAGCTATTGATTATGGAAGTGGAAACACACACTTGATCCAGCTGAATTCAATATTTCGATGTCTAACCACTTTTCCTCTCAATATAATCAGGCTTCCTATATTTGATGTGTTGTAAACATCTCTCAATAAGCTGGTTGTTGTCTCAGAAACCACAGTTTGACAATCCAAAAGATATTCTCAAGGTGGACCCTTCTCTCACTGTGTAGCATGAAAAGCTGTGTTTTATCTTCATCAACCTTGAGATATATCAATCTGACTCACCTCGAATTCGAAACCATTTGTCTGATGAATAAAGGCATTTTGTGATGGTGTGAAAAATCACTTGGGTACTTTGGAAATCAATGGGATCCAACTGCAGCTGAAAACAAACAAAACAAGCTTAAGAAATCTACAGCAAAGGAATTTGTCACCTTGACGGTATTCAACACAAAACCCAAACAGGGACAGAATGGTCCTCCCATTGTAGAGTTGGCTAAGGGACTTAAATATAGAAAACTGGAGCAGTTTCCACACAGTCTAGTTGAATGAGAACCTATACCACAAAAAATCCAACTCAAATTTAAGTGGTATTCAACAATGCAAAACATAAACCCACTAGAGAATGTACGCCCAGGCTCCCAGAGGCCCTGGCTCTCACCTCTGCCGTTACATTTCCCAGCGTATCCAGCCCAACCTGCCTGAGCGAAACGTGTCGATTGTGAGCACATAGCAGCAGAAACCGCAGGCACGTTCGGTTCGCCAACAGCTTGGCATTTCCTTCTTCCATGGACAGATTGTGGATGATGACAGCTATCTGCAGAACCCTCTGCCCTTCCAGGTCATTAATGCCCAATTTCTGTGGAGGGTGGAATAGAACCGAGTCCCATCGATCGTCGCAAGCAGCTTCTGGAGACAGAGATTGAAGCCAGATTAGAAAATTCAATATTACATCCTTTCTGACATAACGGTGCCTAAAATGGAACAATTTAAACAAGATTCCTTAATAACAACTGGAAATCTGAAATAAAAATAGAAGTCGCTGGGAATACTCAGCAGGTCAGGCAGCATCTGTGAGAGGAAAGTGGGTTAACGTTTCAAGTCGATGACATTTGGTACGGTCATTGATCTGAAACACTAACCCACTTTCCTCTCCATAGATGCTGCTGAGGGTTCCCAGCAACTTCTGCCAATGTGATGTATATCTGCTGCAACTGTATAGGGGTTTGGTGAGACCGCACCGAGAGTATTGTGTGCAGTTTTGGTTTCCTTATTTAAAAAAGGACATACTTGCCCTCGAGGGGGTGCAGTGTAGATTCACTCGGTTAGTTCCTGGGATGAGGGGACTGACCTATGAGGAGAGGCTGAATAAACTAAGGCTGTATTTTCTATAGAATACAGAAGAATTAGGGAAGATCTTATTGAAACATATAAGATTCTTAAAGGGCTGATAAAGTAGACACTGAGGGTCTGTTTCCCCGGTGGGAGAATCTATAACCGGGGGTCACAGTCTGAAAATTAAGAGTCAGCCTTTTAGAACAGAGTTGAGGAAACATTTCTTCACTCAGAGGGCAGTGACTTTATGGAATTCACTCCCCCAGAAGGCTGTAGATGTCAGTCCTTGAACATCTTCAAGGCTGAGACTGATAGATTTTAAAAAAATAGAGGGATTAGGGGATATGGGGATAGAGCAGGTAATTAGAGTTAGGTCTGAAGATCAGCTATGATCTTATCGAATGGCGGGGCAGCTCGAGGGGCCAAATGGCCTACTCCTGCTCCTAATTCTTATGTTCTTATGTTCTTAAATCTTAAAAGAGTCCCTGTTTGTAAGTTGCAGTTTTATAAAGAAATCCAAAAGAAATTGTTGTTTTCGACACTGACCATTTAAAATAGTCCTCCTGAAATTTACAACCATATTCACAAACCTAAACACCCAATTTACAAATTGATTTGTAATATTTTCACTCACAAAATAGTCAATCACTTCACAGTATGTTCTGTGAAGCACTATGAAACATCTCGAAGACGTGATAAGGCGCTTTATGAATTGCAAGGATTATTATTATTAATTCAAGCTTAAATCCCAAACTATGATGTCGTGACTGGGTCATAACCACTGTGCGAATAAGAGTCAGAAATAAAGAGGCTCAAACAGAAATGCCTCCAGCCAGAAGCATTAACGGAGCCTTTCACTTTGCTGTGACGTCTCAAAGTTTTTCACAGTATTCACTGTGATGTGTAGTGACTGCATATTTTGCAGGTGAAAGCTGCGGCAAATTTTCATATAGCAATAATTTGTTGGCCAGTTCTGTGAGAAACTCCCTTCTCTTTTAAGAAATGGCTTGATGTAATGGAATGGTGGTGGAGTTCATACTTTGGAAGAATAAGATCAAATGGGCCAAATGGTGTGCCTCATCCAAACCCCTCTTGTTACCCACCGATATGAAGTCATATTGGCTGAAATGCTTCTACCAGAGTGAGGAAAAGAGAAGAAAACGTAATAGAAGGGGAAGAGATAGGAAATTAGAGAGAGTGAGAGAAAAAGTCAGAGAGATGTGTTCCAGAGGCAGAGAGAAAGGAGGGCTATTCTACTGTCAGGAATTCAGGAATTCTACTGTCACTGTAGTGTGGTACTACAGTGACAGTAGAATTCCTGATAGATCATTTCGGTTAGCACTAGTCAATTTGTATTTTGGGTCATGACCAGGGCCAAAAGAAAAGTGCGGAAATATGTGCCAAAAATTGCAGGGGAGAGGGGCGCTTTGGAGATTGTGTGGAACATTGCAGGGGAATTTTTCACAAATTTTACAGAAAATGGCAGGGAGTTGATTGGTGCTATTGAGGTAGAGAGAAAGGAAGATGGGGTATTGAGGTACATTTTATTGCCAACCTACATTTTTCACTTTAGTGATAAAAACTAAACACGAGGAAATAACACACATTAGGATTGTTGCAAAAAAATAAATATTTAATATTTGAGTGAAGCCCCTTTGCCGCTTGTGCCACACCCACGCATGTGGGTCTGGAGCTGTCCCACCCACAGTGACGTCAGGTAAATAGCCAGGAGGCCCGCAGGCCAGAAACTACATTTATCGCGAGTTTGCAGTGGAGGAGGGTGTGTGTACCAGATTACGCTGAAAAATTGCAGCCGGACTTTTTTATTGACCCAGGTCATGACTAATTATCCGCACTGTTTGCTGATCCACCATGGCCCCAGTCCCAATTAGTGCAAGTAGTCAATTCTACTGTCTAAAAATTCTCCTAGAAAACAAGGTTACAAGAACTAAGTCACAAAAGTTGGTCAGTTATTAGCAGAAGGTTGCCTGACTTAAACTGGATTGTGGTGAGACTAGACCTCATTAATTACAGAGTACCTGCCAAATCAGAAGAGGTGTTAAAAAAACACACTCCAAAATGCAAATGATCGGTTCAAACTGTTACTTTACTCGTCTTTATAGCTCCAGCACCAATTAGTGTTTCAACTATAGAACTATACAAGTAATTCTGTCACTTCTTAAAAGCATCAGAATTATTCAGTGGTTTCCATCTTACTATGGGCGCATTGCTAATAGGATTAAGAGTTTCAGCAACAGTGAACACGGTTCGATCTGCTCCGATAACCAGGTAACCTTCCGCTGCCAATGCTTGTAAAGCTGGAAGTGAACTCTGCTTGCTTTCAGTAAGAATTCCCCAACCCTCAGATGCAGTTACTTTGAAGTTAAGCTTAGATCAGAATGTCTGTTTGCACAGCTTCCATATTAAACAAAACCATTCAGAGATTGGTAACCAATTTAATATTTCAAAGAACTCTGAATTCTATCAAGCCTTTCTCAGTTACTTGCTCTTGCAGACGAAATCTAGATGTGGCCACATAGAACTTGCTGTGCCCCAGTCAGTCTCCGAGCTGCCCTCAGAAAACTAAATAGTCTCCAGGGGCTGGGATTTGGGTTTAACTATCGGAGAAGAAAGGCCTCAATGCCGATACTATTCACAAAATGAAGAAATTATCAAGCTAAAACCCTTAGTCAAGCCTATGTCACCAGCTGACAGTCAGAGTTTTAAGACCTTAGGCACCTGCACTTCTTAAGTGCATGGAAGAGAAAAAGATTCTAAGTTCGCGAGAAAGAGATTGCTAGTATAATTACGAGCAGTGAGATTTTTCCTCTCTTCTGAGGGGGAAAAGTTTTTGAGATTCAGCTTCTGGTGCCCACTCGATTATTAATGTATCTCGAGTTCTAACAACTGGAAACCCACTGGTTAATTTTGAGAATTCTGAAAGAAACTGATCACCTATTGTGTAAAATAAACTCAAACCAGATTCAGGAGGTCTCAGGTCACTAGATAAATAAACAATGATGCAACATACACAAAAAAATCATCAATGGAGGGGCACATGAGATAGGAAGAGAGAAACATTTGTTGTTTGCTGCTGGTGCCCTTGAAGCTTAACACAGGAAAGCAAACGGTAACATATTGACGTCAAAACTACATTATAGCGACATTCCTCGCAAATCTGCTGATTTATGTAGGTGACCAAGATCCTGGTAAATCCTGGTAATAAGGTTGCCGCAGTTAGATTCTGCATATGTCCAATAAAGTGAGTGTGGTCGAGGAAGTCTCACTACACAGCTCGACCAACCAGTAGAAAAACCACAATTCTACAGCCGGAACGTGTGTTTCCATGATAAACACAATGTAAATCAAAGGGAAACTGTTTGGCTGTAAAATGGCCTTTTTATCTCAACCCAAAAGGTCAGAATGATTGAAACTTCCCCTGCTATTAGTAGTAGTCATTAGTAGAAACGGTCAGACTTGCAGCACAGTGAACTGCAAAACACAAAGCCCTGCATTTCTGTGATAAGAGCCCATCATCTCTTGCGTTGCTCAGTTACCAATCACACGGCAGGAAAAACAACAATAAGCCTGTAGGGAGCCTCATTCGGTTGAAGTTCTGCACAAACTGAGGATAGAAGTCACAACACACGCAACCATACCCAACGGGAGGAGAGTCTACGAGAAATCAATCATTAACTTTCTGTAGTGTCACTTCCTCTCTTGCAAACATCTGATTTAAACTAAAATTACAAAAATGTCATGCTACTGATTGGAGTATTAAAATAACTCAACATTTGCTAACCCATCATCAACTTGGCTGAATATAGCTCACTGAACAGATCATTTCAGTGATCATATTTGTCAGAATCTGAATTCATTCTCTACATAGCTTTTAGAATTTATTAGGTTAAAAATATTCGCTCTGCAATGAATGAAATGTGCATGTAGTGGTCTTCATGTACTTACGGATATATGTCAATGGTGTGGTACAATATATATTGGGAACATAAGTCTTCGTTTGTAACTATGTTTGAGTTCAATGCCCGTTCAATTAGATAATTATTCCATTATCTACACCTCAGAAAATTCGAAAGTGAAGAAATTGGTCACTAAGTAAAGTTGTTGAAAGTAATGTTCATGTTTGCGGAGTTTCCAACACACTATAGAAGAGTGCTAGATGGGGGAAGAGATTCCTATCACGGTGGGCCGTGATTGGAAATTCAGACAATTATCTTAACGTCACACAGAGGAAATGAGGGAGTTACATCCAGATGGTTTGTCTAATTATTTGTAAAACTGAAAAAGCAGGTTAACTAGTGCGGCACAATTGCCCCAATACAACATTTAGATACAATTTGCTGAATTATCTGAATAGTGCTATTCAGTCAATAATACTGCCTGAAACGTGCATTGCCGGAAAGGGGTAGGGGGTGGAAACAGCTTTGATAGTAGCTTTCAAAAGGGAATTGGATAGGTACTTGAAAAGGAAATTGTGCAGGGCTATGGGGTAAGGGAGGGGGAAGTGGGACTAGTTGGTAGGTCTCTCAAAGATCTGGCACAGGCACGATGGGCTGAATGGCCTCCTTCTGTGCTGTAAGATTCTATGGATCAGAGCTCAGATGTGGAGTTGGGCTGCAATATGAATGGAAATGTTTCTGGTGTCACATGCGTGAGATGTAGATAGCCGCAACAGAGCAAGTGACCTGATCCAAGTAAGCATATGTTGTAGGAGAGACATGCAAACACACAGAGATCATTAGAGAGTCATACATATACAAATAGACATTTAGAGAGACACATGGGGGTAGATAGAGACAAACACACGAAGACGCACAAACACACACAGAGACCCGATATCACATTACTTTCTTATCATATAAAATTGCACAAATAGATCAAATAGGGAAGTTAGAAGAAATTTCTTCACACAGAGAGTAGAGGGAATGTGGAACATACTGCCACAAGGAGTTGTTGAGGCAAATAGCAAAGATGTATTGAAGGGGAAGCTGGATAGGTACATGAGGGAGAAAGGAATAGAAGATTATGCTCAAAGGCTTAGTTGAAGGGCAGGAGAAGGCTCATATGGAGCATAAACACCGGCATAGACCAGTTGAGCCGAATGGCCTGTTTCTGTGCTCTATATTTTAATGTATATGGCCAGCCATTCGTGCAGATATTGGATACTCTACTCTGTATTAATTGCTGAACTGATTTTGTGCCGAGTGTTTAAAATGACGATTCTGATGTGATTGATGTTGAATTCACTATTTCTAGTTGTTATCCACCCCTTCCACTGTTTTGTCAATTTCACTGGGCTCGGGGCAGGACTGGGGTATGGCCGGGAGGTGGCGACATTGCAGAATGAGTCATTACATTTTCTACCTTACAACAGCACGGTCTGTGGCCAGTCCACTTCAATGATAACAATGAGGTTTTTACATGCAATAAAAATGACATTTTTGATGATGAGTCATGTATTCCAGAAAGCTCAGGTTAGGTAGCACACCCCTTAATATGGAATACATCACTGACACTCACTGCCTCACAATACAGTCCAAAAAGGGGAGAAATTTGGATAGAAAGCAGGCAAGCCTGCATGTCACTGGAGACTTGGATTGAGTGTCCAGTGCTTTACATCAGAGCCGCCGGAACATAAAGTGTTGAATTATTTAGGTCTGGTTAAGCAACATTATCTTACCTTTAGATCTCTGACTTTTATCTCCAATAAGCTCACGAACTTCATGATCATCAACCGTATCTTTCCAGAACTGTGAATATTAACAAGTGTTTCATGGTTAGAATGATTTTATCAAATAAACTAGTGCCATAATTTTTATAGACATATAAGTCAACTCCCAGTAAGCATTCTGAACGTCCCGATGGTTTAATGCGTACATTTATTCACTGGCTTACTGAGAAATGGAGATCTGCAAAGTCTCAGGTTTAAGCCACGGTCTTCGCTGAGCACCCTGTATTGCTACAGTAATATAGGCCCCAAAGGGTTTAATCACCTCAACAGAGCAACATCTTGTTCTAGTGATATTTAAGTTAGTTAAAAGTTTGACTCCAGGTAGCCTCCACAATTACTTCAAAATTGTTGCAATATTCATTTTAAGTTACGATGTACTAAATATACCAATCTAAAGTCTTGGGATTATGGCAGATAAATCCCAATTAAAACGAGTGGACAACTCACACAGGTTTTTAATGACTTGAAAAGAATGGAGCATACAATCAGTGGAAGTAATTTTATCAGCTGGGCAAAGTCAGTCAGTACAACATTGACCACAGTGTACCCAACTGACCCAATGTACATTGTACAATGTACAATATACATTGACCCAATGTACTTGAATCTACAGAATAATATGGATGATCTGACGTTTGGCTTACAAAAACATTAAATGTAAACAAAGCCACTGCCCTTCAATAAACATACAATGAACCCAAGAGGCAGCACTCTGCGTGTCCTCCAGTTGACTTCTAGGTTTTCCTCACACAAAATGAATCAATTAACAGTAATTAACTATCTGACTATCGTACAGGCTTGAGGCTGATTTCTCACGGAGTTTCTCTCTCGATTGAAGCCAGAAAATCTCTCAAATAAAGTAAGTTTTATTTCAATGCATGGATATAAAGCATGTCAAACGCATATGTGATGGTCAAACGACGACTTCAGTGTCCTTACACAAAAATAATCTAATTTAAATCGCAATACCACTTTTAAAATGTTGTTTAAAAACTCCTTTCAACAATGGTTGTGTTACTTTAAAGGCACTTAAAAGCGTGGAGCCCTAAATGATATCAGATGTTACAGGGATCTACTGTGTCAAATAAGCTGCATAGCCTTCGTGCCCTGGGCAAGGAAGAAGGGGGAAGGGCTTCCTTCTCCTGATCACCATGCAGTGTGTTCTGCTGAAGAGTATATATAGACATTTTAGGCACAAAAGGGAATGATTCAGCCCATTGAGTCTGTGCCACTGATACCTGTCTTACTAAATCACTCTCTTTCATTAATCCCATTTGCAGCTTTCTCCTCATATCACCTAATGTTTTTACTGCTCAGGTATTTATCCACATCTGAGGATATCGAATTAGGGCAAACTCCCTCTTGGCTGGGATTCCTCTTCACAGCTGAACAGCCTTCCAACAATTGCTCTCTTGGCTTATAAATAACCACTTACCTCTGTAACACACAGAATAACTGGGAAGGAGGAAAAGGAAGAGACAGTATGTAATGGAGTGCAGAAGAGAAAGTGAAAATTGACCAAAGGGTGGATATACAATCAGGCTGGGGAATGATGGAGCAAAGTGTTCAATGTGCAGTCCACTAATTTGCTTGTGTGTGTGTGTGGGGGTGTGGGAAAGAGAGAAGATAAAGTAGAATTTCAGTTCTGTGATGATTTGAGGAAGAAATTAGATCAAGTGGGGGTAGAGTTACAGTTCAGTGGTGGAGGAACAACTTTTAAGAGAGAAGTAGATAATTATTTGGGGAGGACAAATTTGCAGGACTCTGGGGAGCAGGACTGATTCGCATAGCTCTTTTAAAAGAGACGGCACAGACATGAAGGACCGAATGGCCTCCTTCTGTGCTGTATAATTCTACGATTCTATGTTCTGAACTACCTATGTACTACAGCCCATAATGTTATTTCCTGAAAGAAAACTATCTAATCTGAGTTTGAAAGAATTGACACTTCCTGCTTTCAACCATCTCCCTAAGAAGCCTGATCCACTATTCGCTCACTGAAATAGTGTTTGCGTAAATTTGTTCTGAATTTATCCCCCTTCAATCGCAGGCCATGGCCTGTGGTTTTACTATTCTGGACAAGTTAAAACAGCCCGTCATGATCTATATTGCTTTGCCCCTTTAGAATCTTAAAGACAGCAATCATGTCGCCTCTCGATCTTCGCTTTTCTAGTGTGAACTTGTCCAATTTACATAGTCCAGTTCCACCATCATTTCAGTTGCCCTCCTCTGTATCTTCTCGATTTCTCCAATATCCTTTTTGTACTGCGGCGATCAGAGCTGTACACCGTGCTCTAAGTATGGGCTCACCAATGATTTATACAGCAGCAGGATTACCCCACTATTTTGATTGCTATTGAACTCTGGATACATCCCATCCCAGCATCTGGTTTGCTTTACTCACTGCCACAGAGCATTGTTGGGAGAGCTTCAGTTTATTGTCAATCAAGACCCCAGGTCTTTTTCATTTTCCATACATATTACAAACAGTCGGGTGTTTGCACGCTGAGACAAAGGTATTAAATAAAGTATAAATCAGTAAATATTGTAATTGTTTCTAACTGTGCACTAGCACAGAAGAAGAATATAAAATAGACCACAGAGTTCATTCAGAACCTATCTGCTAGTTCCATGGCTGAAACTAACTGTTTGAATTCCAATCCATTGATCTTTCCTAATATCCCCATTTATGTTCTTACTCTTTGAATGTTTATAGAGTCCCGTGTTAAATGTTGTAGTCTCAATCTAAATAATTACTTGTAGCAAAGCATTCACATAATAATCCTTGCATTTAATTTAGCGCTTTTCACGTCGGGAGGAGTAAGGCATGTGGAGTAAGGAAACTTGCCCAGGTTTCGCCCTCTGCCTGGAATTGAACTCAGGTCTCTCGCTTGCAAAGCGAGTGCTCTAACCACTGAACTACAGGACTCCACATGTTCTAATAAATGTGTGAAACTATCTATGGGTCAAAAAGTTTCATCTAACCTGCCCCTGAACTCTTCCAGGGATAACCTTGTGTGAAATCACATTCTGTTTCTGTAGATGTGTGGCTCTTTTTAACCGGACACAGCATATACGGGGAGATTTATTACTCCATTGTCACCTTTAGCTGTTAGTTGCGGGTCCAAATAGGTCAGCTTAACCTGCTTATTCACAGCCTAGAGTCTAGCCAGTTTAAATACAATTCTTATCTTGTTAAGGCATGCTAAATTAAACGGTAGAAGTAATAATAATACTTGCATTTGATATAGTGCCTTACCACGTCTTTGAGACGTCTCAAAATGCTTCACAAAATATATTGTAAAGTAAATTGATTGTATATTATGTGGGCAAAGTACTAAAATTATTTCACTCAGGGCTGAAGCATTATTTTCCTTCAGTGCCTGTTCTGCCTGAGCGCACTGCAAATAACTGACACAGGTGTGCTAGCATCTCGTGGGTTGCATAGTCACCTTTATGAAGTCCCTTCCAGATTTTACTTTCCACTCAGATTCATACACATTCAAGTAGGTTCCTGGACCTAAAACAGAAGAAACAAGGAAATTAAACTAAAAGGCAGAGATGTGAAAATACTTTCAGAACCTGTGTACTTATAGATGCACTTTTGCTGCACAGCCAAAGAGACTATAGTACCTCACCCACTTAATACAGGTTGACACAAATTGAAAAATTAAGCACTGTATTCACATCGACCGGATTTCGCTCAACAGTATAACATCATAATGCTGTAGGAATAGAACAAATGAGAGGAAGAAAGATCCCCCACCCCCAATAGTTTAGTGGATAAAGGCAATATGCAGTGTAACACTGGGCCACACACATTAGAAGGCTGTCGGTCTAATCCTGGCTTGTGCTGAGTGAGCTGATCTCAGCTGAGGCAGCAGGTGGGGTAGTGAGAAGAGAGAGAGAAAAAATCAGCTTCAGTTACCAGGGCAGTCAGGATTACTACAGCTGATCATCACCCAGAGACCCCAGCTGGAGGGGGTTTACACTTGGGACATGAGGTTAGGACAGGATGAGGCTTGTCTGTCTTGTTCTTCAGTTGAATAGACTTGCTAACACTCGCCATCAATGCTCAATGAATCATGACCACTTGGCAAGGTATCTTAGAGCAACTGGCGCCCATGAATCATGAAGGGAAAAATAAGTCAAATATGAGAATCAGAGGGGAGAGTTAGGGTTGGTGGAAAAAATATAAATCATTACTTCCTGTTATGCATCTTGCTTTCACTTTAATCAACACGATCAAGACTGAACTATTCTACTGTTTATACACATTCACTAGAAAGTGATTTTTTTCCCCTTCGAAAGATGATAAATATTGTAAACCAAGCTTTAAGTGTACAGAAATATATTGGGAACTCATGGAATACAATCCTTCAAGGTCAGTCGGAGGACCTAGTTGGTTTGGTCTGGAATAGGGGACACTGCACGATACTACAAAGCAGAAAGTATTTCTACATGACCTTATAACTCAAAAAACTAAGTTATGTGCCAATTCATACCTAATGCTAGTCTCACCCTTCACTAGTAGACAATTCCTTACAATAAAATCTATAATAATAATCCTTGTATTTGATATCAAGACACTGAGACGTCTCAAAGTGTTTCTCAGAATATACTGTAAAGTGAATTGACTGTATTTTGTGGGAGAAACATGGCAGCCAATAGCAGCGCACAGCAGTGTCCCACAAACACTTGTGGATTGAGAGATCTAATTATTATTTTTTGAAAGGATTATTACCCCCACAGAAAGCGATCCAGCAAGCAACTAACAACTGGATTTCTACTTACTGCTAGGTAAACAGGTGTGTGGAGTAACGAAACTTGCCTAAGGTTTCGTCCTGCCCGGGAATCAAACCCAGGTCGTCTCTCTTGCGAGGCGAATGCTCTAGCCAATATGCTACAGGACTCCACAATCTGATGTAAATTTCAAATCACAAGTCTTTCTAGTTTTTAATATAGCAAAACCTGATGCATTAATAATAATAATCACTGCATTGGCAATGGTTTAGCAATAGCAATGCATGCATTTTATAAGTAAATAGGAAAGATTTAAATGCTTGCTTTATTAGTAAGTTACTATCACAACATTTAACAAGATGAAATGAATAAAGCAGTTTCTCTTCAAGAAGAGTTAGATCATCAGTGATAGTCTTGTCACATCAATGCTGCTTTTAAAAACCTGGTCTCCTGAGTCAACACACTGAAGTCTGAGAGTATTAATCACCAGTTCAGAATTAAAAGCAATAAGACACCAATATTAATCTCGACACGCCACACAATAAATAATGCAAGTGCAACGCAGACATCATACACTTCTCGCAAACTCAATCACCAAACACAAATTTCAGTCATTTGCCATCTGGTATTCATATGTATTGTCAATTATTCTTCACAAGAGAAGGCCTTTCATTTGATCTCATTCTGCCCGAATGCCTACCTACCGCCTTCTCGTTACAGTATCAAGCCATTTAAGCGAGTTCAGCGCCCTGACCTCAATCACCCTTCCCGACAACCTGCTCCAATTACATTGCATTCTTTTGATCAGATTAAAAAGCAAGTGGCTTACTATCGTCAAAAATGCCAGCGTGTGCCAACAGCAGCGTAACGACCTTTGGGTCCCTCTCCAGCTGCAGGACCTGCTTGTTCCCATGTGACATGAGCGTGCAAACATTGATCGCAAAGTCCACTTCGTTTGGAAGTCCCGAAAGTAAAGACAGCACCACTTTATTATAGTCACCAATTCTTGTAAAATCCGTAAAAAGTCCATAACCTCGACGTACGCTTTCTGAGAAGGAAACAAAAAAAATGTGAGAATATAGGGTTTCATTCTCCAGAAATCATACCAAAACCCAGAGATTTAATTTAATATTTAAGTCACAAATCTCTTCAAGCAGCAGATGTTACTGTGCGCCACCCACACAACACGCCGTTCAGTTTTAATATCAGTCTGTAGTCAGCAATGCAACCAAGAGTCCTAAGGCACTTGTACATAAAATGGGAAAAAGATTTTGAAACTAAAATTCTGTGGAACGGAGACAAGTTTCAGAGGTTGACATGATACCTGGTGCTGGTCAAACACCCCCAAGCTGAGTTTTGGACCTTCATCCCCACTTGATTTTGTTTAAAGGATGTCCTCTGATGTCATAAGTGCTACAACGGCAAATGTACACATGCCCGCACTTCATTCCCACAATCTCACTCCAGCAGCCATCCTTGACAGCTGAAGACAGGCCAAGCCAGGGTGGAGCTTAAAACTGCATCAGGAACTGACAGGGAAAAATTCCTGTGACAGATCTCCAGAGGCTTGGAAGCCTGTGAGGATGTTGCCCATTAAAGAGTTGAAGCATTAAAATTCAATAGATTCAAAGACTGCATCTTTTATGCATCATCCGCTGGGTGACACGTACCTGGGATAATATGCTGATGACGATTATAAAACAAATGAACCCCAGAAACCACGGCTTGTGGTCGAGAGTTGGTTGGGGTGAGCACCTCATCTTCCTCCCCAAAATGATGCAACTTCTCATAACTCTCCAAGTACCTTTTAAAAAAAAACACACACAAAGGACTAAACATCATGCCAAGCAACACCGCAAAACTATAAAACACACACTCATGTTAATCAGAAAGTGCCCTTTTTTATATGATGATTTAAGACATCTAATATTCATTTTGTACATTTAATTACAAATAGATAAATGCAGCAATAGGGAGAATGCATTAATTAAACAGAATACATGCAATTCAGGCCCGTAATAATCTCCTGTATGTATCAATACACAAATAGAATAACTGGCAGTTATGAGATTTAATAACAAGCATTAAAATCATGAGACATTTTTAAAAACATAATTAAGGATAGGAGGCAAGTACCGACCACTTTTGTAAACTGTGAACCCAACATTAATCATTCCGATGGGTTAAACATTGGATGCGCCTACTAAGGCTAAATTTATGATAGGATAGGATTTTTACCCCAGAAATAGGGCTGAACAACCAGCAAGAAATATTCATACCTCCTGGATTTTCATAATGGATTTGGTTCATGCCATACTTAAAAAAATTAACTTGAGTCAATAAGACGGGGTTAACCATGTGCTAGATTTGTGGCTTGGCTCGAAATGCTGCTGGAAGCAGAATGAGTGCCAGCTCGGAGGTGTGATCTACATTTACAACATTTGTCGTACCAAACATGAACTTTCAAAAGGCAAAATACAGTAATTAGAATGGGAGGTCTTCTCTGGGAAATGTACTTATTGAACACGACAGCACATATGGTGTAAAGGTTCAAATCCAATTCACTCAATAGGACAGACTGAAATAGAAGCTGACCGGCCTGCTGTGGATTTCCAGCAGTTCTGTCAGCATCTGAAAGAGAAAATAGGTTACGGTTTCAGGCACAAGCCTTCGTCGAAGGGTCATTGCACCCAGTCGTGCCCAAAACGCTAACCTAGTTTTCTCTTTCAGGAGCTGATCGCCCAGCTCTCAATTTCCAGCATTTACACATTTTCTCTCCTCCTCCTCTTTCAAATGGGCTTGGATTGACACTTCACAAGTCTGCCCAGAAAATATTTTTGCTTACTGATATAAAAATAACTAAAGATTTTGAAAGGATATAAAAATACAAAGTAATGTAGATTCTGTTCCTGAAGCTTCAAACCATAGAATCTACCATTAAAGAAAGCATTTTATAGGCCAGAAATATTAGTAACAGATAGTTGCTGTTGTTGTATTTTGGAGTGTGTGAAGACAAGGACAGTCAGACAAGATGTGGGTTCCGGTGAGAGCCCATATAATCACCTCAGAAAAATGACGTGTACTTATGGGTTAAGAGGAGATGAACTTTATCCTCAGGCACCTCTTAGCAACTCAGATAAAAGTGTCAAATAAAAGGATCCTTGTCGATTGCTAAAAGGTTTGTAATGTGGGGAAAGAGAAGAAATAGTCCACAGTAAGATTCAGGATAATAGCAGAAGGGGCTCCATACATTTAACAGTCAAATCTACTGGGACCACTTATCCAGCCAAGCGCGAAGGCCAAACCTCAGTGGAAGATTTCCTATTAGAAGTCTATTCCACTCCGTACATCTGATTCCACCCGACATTGACCATTTCATCTTTGAAACTGAATCACAAAACTATTATGGGCTGTAAAATGCTGTACTGTAACAGCCTCTTCTCATTGGACCATCCGCTGTCAATCAACCCGCACCACGCTCCCATTGGGCCCTCCGCCTGTCCATCAACCCATCCTGCACTCCCATTGGACCGTGCACCTGCCTCTTCATCCCGGATCCAGTTGTCCAGCACTGAACTCCCGGTGTAAGATTCTTCAGTATTTTGTGACTCGGGCCCCGCAGACTTGCATTATTGGATGAATTATAACGTTACGCGGCAATAACAAACTCAAATGTGTACAACGTGCCAAGTCTGGCGGGGACAGGCCACCAGTATCACATTCTGCTGATTATAACAATAGGCAACTTAACATTCTGGAAACTCAACTGTTATAACAACGTTCAAATATTTTCTCTCAGCAAAAAAAAACTTTGCAGTGAATTAAACTCATTTTTCAGTATATTAGAATTGCAAGAATATGGTGACGGTGTCGCCGATTTTCAGCTAACTAATAACTTTAAAGAAAAGGCGTTAGCAAAATCAGGGCATCCTGACTCGTGTCAAGGATCAGGCTAAGGGTTCGCTACCACAGGCTTCCAGCCTCGGGCTACTTGCTGGCCACTCCAGCAATGGGCTATTTATCACGTTTGAGACAAGGCAGCAAACATTGGCAGGAAATTTGCCGCTGGAGAGCAGAAAAACTGAACCTTTGGCTTTTGTACCCGTGCTGTGGGTCTGGAGAGTATAAATTATGAAACTAAAAGATTTACATATTTTAGCAGCCTCCAGTGGTACAAATCAAGAGCTAAATGTGACACTTCTGGGATCAATGAGTTTGTTTAGAAAGAGAATCTAATTACAGTGCAGCTTTGTTACAACATATTATTATAACAGTGCAGTTGGGATCCACGACATACCATGTTATAACGAAGCACGTTTGCCAGCATTACCAAGCCATGCTGCTTTTATAACAACACTTATCCTTGCATTTGATACAGCGCCTTATCACGCCTTCGAGACGTCTCAAAGCGCTTCACAGAATATATTGTAAAGTGAATTGACTGTATATTTTTTGGGTGAAACTCGACAGCCAATTTTCCACAGCAGTGTCCCAAAAACAGTCGTGGATTGAATAAAACATTTTTTTTTGAAAGGATTATACCCCGCAGAAAAGTGATCTGCCAAACGACTAACAACCGGGTTCCTACTTATTGCTAAGTAAACAGAGGCGTGTGGAGTAAGGAAACTTGGCCAAAGTTTCGCCCTAGCTGGGAATCAAACCCAGGTCTTCTCACTTGCAAGGCAAGTGCTCTAACCATAAGCTACAGGACTAAAATATTTGCTTCAATGTTATTCGGAACTAGGAGTACAAGCTGTAGATCATGCGATTTTCCTTCAAGCAGATCAGTGACCTCAAGTCAGGTGTTTGATCTGCATGAGTTGAACAATGAAGTGTGCTTGGAGTGACACTACCGCAAGGGCACAAAATGAATTTATACCAATACTTCTGATTTCGCTCCCCGCCACCCAAAACTGGCGGATTGACTACCACACTAATGAAGTTCTTACAACTGCCTTGAATCCATCAGGTCACATATGGCAAAAAAAAACACCCAATCCTAACAGTGCAAGCAACTTACAAGAAAAAAGTCCAAAGAAATGTCACCTATGTACATTTTGATTTTAGAATGCTTCCATAGTGATGGTATCTGACAGTCCAGTCAGATGGTCTAGCAATTGGGTGTCACTATGATACATTGCTGAATTGTATGCATCGCCACTAGCAGGATGGAAGCAGTTACACACTGTAAATACAGTCTTGAGATTAAGGCTATTAACACCAGCCACAAGTGTCGATAGTTTTGTTATCCCAAATAAGCACCTTAAAACAACAACAAATTACATTTGTATAGCACCTTTCACATGGGGAGGACATCCCAAGGCACTAAAAAGTCATTATTGAGACTTGGCAATGTAGAATGTCCTCAACCCTGTAGCAAAGCCCTAATGGGTGGAAGAAATAAGAGTGATCGATATAATCAGGAGAAACGAACGTTTTACACATCCATCATTTTGAGAGCTTTATATTGTAGATGTAAAAAGTGGTACCCTTCAGAGGTCAGTGATAAGGCCATTGTTTTTCTCTATATTAATGATCTGGATTTGCAAATAGAGGGCCCAACATCAAAATTTGCAGATGACACAAAAACAGTGATGCTAATTGCAAAGAGGACTGTAAATGAGCCAGAGGGCATAGACAGACTAGTGAATTGGACAGTTAGCTAGCAGATGAAATTTAATAATAATAATTCTTGCATTTGATATTGCGCCTTATGTTGTTGAGATGTCTCAAAGCACTTCACAGGGATATACGGTAAAGTGGATTGAGTGTATATTTTGTGAGCAAAAGCGGCAGCCAATTGTGCACAAATTTAATGCAGAAAAGTGTGAGAAAGTATAAAACATATATTAAATAGTAAAAAGAATGTAGGGAGCTGGGAGACCAAAGAGTAAATGTACACAAATGTTTGAAGGTAGGAGCCAAGGTGACAAAATTGTAAATGAAATTGTTCATGGAATCCCAGGTTTTAAAAATCAGAGAATAGAAAAGCTAAAAGGGGTAATGCTAAACCAGTTTAAATCATTAATTAGGCCACAGGCAGATCATTGAGCCCAGTTTTGGTGACCCAGCTATAGGAAGGAAATTTTGAGGCTTGAAATGACAGCAACTAGGAAACATTATGTGGAGTCTGAATACATTGATACATGTTCACATACCCAAAGTTTGGTATCCAGAGCACATATCATACCTTGATTAGTATGCAGACAGGTAAAGGAGCTGCTGCTGAAGCTTTGAACCTCCAACTGGCAGAAGCTCACTGGGTAGGGGCTGCAGTCAGCATGGTGACAATGCGCTCACACATTTTATACGGTGTTGTGCTGCTAGTGACAAGTTCCTGCTACCCTGCATCCATCTAAAAAGAACTTAAACCTAAGGTTGTCAGATGTCCAATAATTATCCTCTTGGGGGTGAGGGAAAGGGGAGGGCAAGATCTCTTTGGGGATGGGGTGACACATCTGGCAACGGAAGATCATCACCTGTGGCTGGATTCTTCCTAAGCAGGTCCTGATAACCTGGCAAATCAAAGCCCTAGCTGTACAGACAGTGGGATGTCGATCAGTGTTCTGGTAAACAATGGTAAACTGTGCATTTTAGCTGGTTAAAATTCCACAATAATATAAAACTCCATTGCAATATAAAAAGCTATGGGGAAAAGCCAGGAGAACGTCTTGTCTGTTCAGGTGGACATTAAATCCTATGTCACCATTCAAAAACAGAAGGGAGTTTCTCCTGATGTCTGAGTAAGGATCCTCCACATAAAACTGGTCACTCACTCCATGGCTGTTTCTAAATTAGTTGCCG